TTGTACTCCTCCCACAAAACACTTCAAAGCTTAGGTTTGTAGACAACAATGCAACTGCTCCTGCCTATCCTTAATGCAGTTCAGTTTTCTATTTATATTGACAAGAGGAGGTGAAAGACAATGGAAGGCACACGAAGTTTCTTTGCACAGAGTGCACATGTATGATGATTCTGAATTATGGTCCCATATGCATCACCAGAATTTCTCTTGAAACACATGGGTTTACTATTTTTAATACTGTAAATTAAATAAGAATACATTTATTTAAAAAGTTATCAAGACCTACTAGGACTAAAAAATGTTTTTAAAAGTTTGCTGTACTTGGAAGCTGTGAGAAAAAAAAAACAAAGCCATAATCTGTGATCAGTAATTACACTGATTGAAGGTGTTAAAAAAGATCTTGGATAATGTTAAAAAAGAAAAAACAAAACCAGAAAGGCAAACAAAAAACAAAGGAAAAATTCTACTGGTATTTGTGACTACAAAGGGGAAAAAGTAGAAAAGGAACATGGAAGGATTCCAGTACACCTGCTAAAAGAGACTGTTTAAGAACTTCAAACGTTGTTTCACAGCCATGTGACTTCCAGATTAAAAATTACCCCTAGAATAAAACAATTTAAAAAAAGGAACCTAATTTTCTGAAACAGGTAACATGCTGACAAAATCAGAAAGGAAGTTAAAGTCTAATGCATGTAAAGCAATTCTTTCACAATCACGTAAAACTTCTTTCAAGTGGCAATATAAAAACCCCAGCAACTTAAGTTCTAAACCTACACAGCTTTAATTAGCAAAGCAATACAGGTGTATTTATCAAGGGGTACACATTCACCTCTTCCAAATTCTCTCCTTTAAGAAAACACATTTTGTTGCATACTTCCAGAAGATTATTTCCAACAGAACACTGAAGGTAACACACCTTTAAGGGCATTCTGAAAAAAATAGCTGATTGCTAGCCAAAAATCTACTGAGCTGAGAAAAACCCATTTCTGTCTCAGGATTGTATACAAAACCTATTTTCTTCCTTTGTATTCATTATTTTTAGCCACTACAACACAGTGAAAGTAGCTGTACTGTTGATGAACTGCAAAAACAGCCAGTCACTTTCAGAAAAAAGCTTCTAGATCTTGCCTTGCCAGCAGTTAAGAAGCAGGCAGCAGTACAGAAACATCATATGCACAAGTATTTATTATCCCCCACTCTCTAGTGGTTTCAGGAAAGGAACTTCAATCTGAAAAATCACATATGAAAGTGAAACATAACTGAAAAGGTCAATGCTTTTATCAGCTTGACTTGAACCTTATTAAGGTAATGTTCTAGAAAAATAGCAATTAGAAATGACTGCCTAAGCACCCTAGCAGCAAGAGGGCTTTCTCCCCCAAAACAAACAACTTACAGAGACTCAAATTTTATGCAAGAAAAGCATCTCCTGCTTCTAAGAAGGGTGCTGGAAATGCTTCCATCTTGCTACAGTAAATGTTCCTTACACAAGCTATTAGAGTTTGCTTTGGGCTTTTTTGCCATATCCAGAATGAATTTCATTCTTTTACACTTTGTCCCTCAGTGAAACCACCACAATTTCAAACAAAAAGCCAATAAACTTGCTGGCAGATTACATTTTACTCACAAGATGATTATGCCATTTCCACACATCTGAAATGGACATCAGGCTACTACTTCCTGCAACAACTAACTTCCCTGCACCATAACCAAAACAGAATGAAAATACATCAGCAATGTTACAAATAAGATCTGGTTAGGTTGGAGACAGCTCTGTTTACCCTTTCCTTTACCTTTTTCAGCATGCTCTGGCTCTGGTTGATTACTACTACTGGAGCTGACGCTGGCATCAAAACCTGTTGGAGAAATATTTCCCTCAGACTGGAGGTCTTGCAGCTCCCCTGCCACACTGTCCACCTCTATTGTGCTATCTGTTTCACTTTTGATGCTTCGTATCTCTTCTTGATTTGGTGGCAGTGTCTCAGAGACAGTGACACTGGACTGATGTCTACTGGACTCTGTCACAGTTACAGAGGAAGGTGACTCAGGAGTTGTAGGAGGTGTGTTCAGCACTGAATTGCTGCCGCTGCTTGGAAATTCGACTTTCTTCTCACCCACTTCAGTCGGTTTTTCTTCAACAGGTTTAACATCCACACTTGCTGGCAAAGATTTTTCAAGTTCACAGTTAGGCAAAGAAATGCCTTCTTCTGCAAGAGTCTGAAGCTGCTCCTCTGCTGCAGCATCCTCAGGAGCAGCATGTGGAGGAGAAGCAGCAGCCTCAGTATCAGAGTCTGAGAACAGCTCCTTCAGCGTTTTCTTCGGCCACTGGCCTTGGATACTTGACCACACATCTTTTCGATCCTTTGCTCTGGTGTTCTGAAGTCTTTCATCTGAGTTATTTAGAAGCTTTATTCTTTTCTCTCCCACTTCAGAAAATCCAGAGTAGAAAGTACTTGTCCGTAAAGATTTCCTTTTCTCCTCTAGTCCATTGTACTTTTTTGTTGGTGTGATTTTCAGTTTAGATTTGTCTTCCTCATCTTCATCCGAGGAGCTATTACTGCTATTTTCTAAACTAAGGGAGTCTTTGTTTTTGGACTTCTCATCCTTTCTATTAGGTGACACGGTCTTCAAGGACTCCTCTGCAACACAGTGTCTTCGTTTTCCACGCTTCACTTGTGGCTTTGCTGTTTTATCCACTATCTCCTTCTTTCCATCCTTTCTCTTCTTTGTGGCTTCATTTTCTCCATCGGAGTCACTATCTTCAGATAACTCTTCCATCTCTTTCCGCAATCTTTCGGGAGACTTGGATACAGATTTGGGCACCACTGCATCTGTAAGAGCTTTAGTTTCCTCTGGGAGGGATGAACCACTCTGTTCTTTTAGACGGAGTTCATTTTTATCTTGGCTTACGGCTTCGGGCTGAGATTCCTCTTTGCCATCAGCATGAACATTCGGGGCACTTTGGTCATCTTCTTGCTCACTATCATCAGAACTTTCAGAAGCTAATTAAAAATAAAGCCAAACAAAACAAAACAAAAAAAAAAGAAAACAAGAAAAGTTTGTCTTGATTCTGATTACAGAGAATTATTAAATAAAAAAACAAAAAAACAACCGAAGAAAACTGTACAGATATGAAGACATGCTCAGGGATCTCTAGCAGTCTCTTAAATGGTATGTCCCGAAGAGTTCAAAAACTCATGGTATAATGGCTGGATTAGAAACTAGGAAGATTCTCTGTTATACAGTACATCTCCAGGAATTTCTGAACAGGTAGAGAAAGCATAGATGGCATTAATTGATAAAATATGAACTTCTGCACCCAAATTACCTAAGCCACTAACTGAAAGATGCCCTTACATATTTCTTATGGGTGACAAATACTACCATTATCTGCCTTTTTTCCAAAGACCATAACAAGACATCATTTTCCCTGGAAAATCCAGAGTCTAAAGGACAGAACAAAACACACATTGGGTACGCTCTAACAAACCAACCTGATGACCAGCCTGGAAAAAGGAAGCGAAAGCAGTAAAGAAAGGCACTTAGGGAAACAAACAGACAAGAAGAATGTAGGACAACTGCAAGAAAATTCAGGGTCAGCAACAAAGAAACTGAGAGAAGAACAAAGATATATAATGCTAAAGGAATCAAGAGCAATCTCAGTGCAAAAAGATATGGATTCAAGGAGAAACACAGGAATTGGCTTAAACATATATATATGTAACTCCTTGAAATGTAAAGTTAATTACAGATTAATTATCACACTAATAATAGTGTCATTGCTAATTCTTGGGGTTTTTTTGTTTCTCATTTCCTAATGAAATAAAGCATTACAGATCATGTTGATTGTTACTCTACCTATTCTTTTGGAGTCCAGTGACCAGTGTCATTCAAGTTCAAATAAGTCGGAATGACTATTATTATTATTATATTAAATTCACACAGCTTCCACACAAGTTTGTGGTTACCCAAACTACCTATACCATACATGATTTTCTTCTCTGGAAGCATGTGCTAAACTAAGAATGAAGAGAATCAAGTAGGTATTAAAATGCTGCTGTCAATGTGTGGGCATTGGAACACAGTACTAGCAACAGAAATGTAGATATGAATAATGGGTCCTATAGCTTAGGTAAATCAAGAATTAAAAATTTCGAAATCAGATAGGAAGCAAAAATGCTTTGCTCTATATCAAACCAACAACAACAAAAAAGGATGGCAACACAAAATGTAATGACCGTTAACACACTGAATTCACAGAAACTGTCAACAATGTTTTTGTCCAAGGGTTATTTCTGAAGATGTTATAGTTAGCCAGATAGATTCTAACATTTAGTTGCATCAGTTATTCTCCACTGTCATGTACTCCTGTTTAAAGACCATTTAGACCATTTACAGAATTAGAAAAAGCTTTTAAGTACAATACCTTGTAGCCCATTAATGATAGAAGTAATTTCTATTGATTTAACTGGAGCTTGTTCAGTATTTTTGGCTTCAGTGCTGTCAAGTTTGGACCCAGACTCTGGTGATGTATTGGTGTGAAAAGGGGGTTTTGACAAACGTCGTAATTTACACGGTTTAGGAGAATACTTCTCTTCCTTCTCTCTGTCAGTTTTATTCTAGGTGAAAAGAAAATACAGAAACTCTTCTCATCGGAGCACACATCTTATACTGGATTACAATTAAACAATGCTTACAGTTATCTTAAACATTCAATCTGTAGAGGAAAGCTCTCCTCTTTGTTTAAAGGACTACAAACATCTTTCTACACTCCATGCCAAGACCCTTCTACTGAAGACAGGGACATTGTCAACACTAAAACAAATGGGAAAACAAATGCAACCAGTGCTCGAGAAGTGACACTGCAACATGCCAGGCTCAGTAGGGGCAGAAGGAAAAGCTTCCTTGAAGCCCACTGTCCAAGAAATATGTCATCATCTAAGCCTAAATACCAGTTGTGGAAGAATCAATTTTGAAAGAAATCTTGGCAATAAAATTATAGAGTCCCATGCACATGGGACAAATGCCAGCACAGGTTCAAATGCTAGCACAGGTTTGCGCTGTACAATCAGAGCTCTCAGATTTCACTCCCCTCAAGCTGGCTCCCAACACTGACAATAGTCTGTATCCTTCTCATTTGATTTCTGTAAATGACTACGTACATTTAATTAAAAATTCAGGAAATAAGGAAAGAGAAGCTTCCCCTCCTTACCCCAAGGAGAAAAGCCAAAACCATGATGAACAGAATATCCATGTTTAAAAGGCTCTGAAGTTGCATTGCCTGATAAGCATTTGAAGGCCAATCAAAAGGTCAAGAAGGGAGGCAGGGATTACTTAACTGTGTATCAAACCAACACAGGGAGCAACATGAGAGAAAAGGGAGAAAAACTACCTTTATTTTCTTTCGATGCTTAATTTTTGGTACATTTTTGTCAGCTGGTCTCACTATCTTGTCTGCCTTTATCCACTCATCGTACCTAAAAAGAAATAAAGAAATCGTACTCATTTATTGTTTTAAGCAGATAATCACATCACAGTAGAAATTTAACTGAGGAAAAAGGAGATTAATAGCCATATAAAAATAGAATTGGAATTTGAATCAAGTAATTTGTGCAATTCTCAAGTCTGTGAGGTTTCAGCTAAGGTTCAGAGGATTAGTATCTTTTTAGACTGAGGGGTAAATGCAAAACCTATTTTCCAGTCTGCAAAAACAGCAGAAATTCATGTATGCAGGTTCAGCAAACTACCTGAATGAGAAATCTGTACAGACCTCTAAAAAGTATACTTTCTATTTATACACTGTAAACCCTTAACAATAAAATAAACAACAATAAAATAAAAGACAATAAAATAAATCCTTTCAACTACATAAAATGTGATCAGTTAATAAAAATAAACTCTTTCCTGAGTGACTGCAATGAGTTATCTGGAGTGAGTACCCCTTCAGAGTCACCAGCTTTGAGTCACTGGCTTCACAGGGACATTTTTCAATTCCTTTTCTGTTAAAGGTTTCCACTTAGCATCAGTGACACAAAACAAAAACATACTAAATAGCATCAAACTACTAACAACAGGTATCTTGTTATTCAAGACTGGACCCGTTAAGTACAAATCCAAGACCAAAGAAGTACATTCTTAGTAAGAATATACTGTAACTATATAATAATATTCCTAGTAAGAATAAACTGTAACTATGTAACTATATAATATACTGTGCTTGCCAGATTGTGTATCTCTGAAAAAGTCAAGAATCATTTAAATATATTTTTTCCCTCCTGATAAGAATAAGCTGCTTTACTACTTAAACTGTAAATTCAAGAACCATAGGCATAAGAAACAGTTCAGTTAAAAATTAGTTGGTATTAACTTTGACCTGAGTGCACATACAAACAAATTCTGGTGCTCTTAGGTAAACACAGAAATAGAGGGAAAAAATTAACTTTAAAAACCCAAAACTACTCTCTCCAAAAAAACTTGTACAAGATGGAGTTGAGCACAATCATCATGCTGGCTTTCCAGCTGGGATTACTCAATCATAATTTTGATGTATGCAATGACTACTGACACAGTCCTAATTCAGCTTTTTTGCAACCACTGTCAATTATATCCACAATATTGACATAAATTAAAAATATTTAGGGAAAAACATGCAAGTTTTCAACTTGCTTCCCTACATATTATAAGTTACAATCTATACAAGGGTTTCAGAAGCTAAATACTGTATTCTAACTTAAATGTCACATAACAATACAGTGAAAACTTAAATAGCAAAAGTCTGAAAAATCTCTCCAAAACAATTTATTCTGCTTTTTCACCTCCATGTAACAATAAAAAAATACAAAATCTTACAGCAGACCATGCAGACTATGCTATACCAAGACTGTCTACACTGCTGCAGATACCACTGTCATTGTAGTATTACCCTGCCATTACCAGGTGAAATGCCAATAAACAGGTTGAAAACTGAAATACAATTCTGCAGAGTACTTGCTCATATGGAAAAATCCCATATTCTGTAAGACTGTGGGAAACCCTATTTGAAGCAATCTTTCTTCAAGACAAAGACATGTTTTGCAGAAGGAATACCATGAAGCACTGGCCAAATGGACTTTGTGACCCAGAGAAATGCAGCAGGAGTATTTTACTGTATCAAAATATATGCAGGAAAACAGCACTAGGACCTGAAAAACACATGGTGAAAAGTGAGGATTCTGACAGTGTCCTTTCTGCCTCAACCACATTGCTAGAATACCAAATTTGTATTCACTCATTCTTATGCATCTCCAATAAGAAATTAATCTTCCTCCTATGCAAAGTCTGTGCACAGCCCACACTGTCTGAGATTCACAGCAACTGCAGTGCTGTTGGGGCAAGAGCTGACAGACATGGGGGCACACTGAACCAAAGGAGAGAAGTGCAGAATCTGAAGAGAATACCTCTCCTTACCACAGTCCTAAACATCATGGATTAGAAACAGTGGTCATGCAAGCTCTCATCTCAAGGAGAACAAATTGGAACACTAATGTGTGACAGTCACAGCTGCTGGCCAGAGCACATCCTGCCTTACTCCTGACTGCATCCAAAACAGCAGGCAGACCCTGTGAGGAGGCCACAGAAATCTCCCATCTTCTCCAGGGAATCCACTGCCGCACACTTCACACCCTTGCATCACACAGCTCCTTTCACTGCTGACATGTCTGATGCAAATGGCTTGCCTAAACCTGGGACAACTGAACCCCAGGCTGAAACAGACCCTGCAAAAAAGATTCATTCCAAGCTACAGCTGACAACCTGACCCTAAATTACATTCTGCTCCCCTGCAAGACAGAGAAGCACCCTGAAAGCTGCATCTAAAATGGGGTGTGTGACTCTAAAACTGCATCTGCTAACATATGAACACTTACTTCACCACTAATCTTACTTTGGACAGTCTGTTCACAAAACAAAATTAACCTAAAAATATTATCCAAAAAGTTATTCAGCTCTCATTACAAGAAGTATGTACTTTCAGAGGACCTGGGTTGTTTCACTGCAGTGCTGTCTTGCACATGTACTAGCTTCACCACCCTAAAATGAGCAGATGAGAATGGAGAGGAAGGAGGTAATATGAGGACCTCATGAAAGAGGTGCCACAGATTTCTTTGAAAATCAAGACCGGGGATTTAATAAGGAATTATTATTTACTTAATTTTTTAAACCAGGTTTCATATGAAAATCTGAAACACTTCCATAGAGAAAATCCCCTTGCTTTACCAAAATAGACAAAGAAGAGCACTTTGCATCAGAGTATGTACTGATACTATTACATTCACATGCATTACGTGGAAGATAAAATGCACCACAACATACACTCAGAGACTGCACAGTCGATCTTCCACAGAAGTACTAGAGGAGAAACAAAGAAAGCATACTTGTCCAGACTAGATTTATGTTATCAAGGACAACACTTTACTCCAGACAAATGACCTCAAGCCACTAGCAAGCTTTGGCAAATTCACTGAAAAAGTCCAGTATACTATCTCTAGCTAATAAAAAGGGAGAATTAATTTTTTGTTTCTGTGATCAAAGAAAGGAGAAAAACTAGTCTGATACTTAAATACTGGAATATTAGATGGGGATTCTAGTTTGCCTAATTTTTTTTTAATTTTTTTTTTTAATAATCCCTCCCCTGCCCCTCATGACATACATTACTCTCCAGGACCCAAAATTTTGTTGCAGATTTAATTTCAGTGGTTGACTGTGAAGTATAAAATTTGCATAAGAAGTAATGTTTCAACAAACTTACACCAAAATTAGCACTTTCACATGCAGATTTCTGAAGGAAAGAAGTGTTGAAAATAATAAGTCTTAGCTTTAAACATTTGAAACATTCAAGAATAACATGTCTTGTGATGTTGTACCATAATGATACACAGTTTCATCAATCTAAAGGCTTTTTAAATATGCACCCTCTAATTACTGGGAATACACTGCAGAAGAAAGTCACCTCAAACACAAAATGAACTGTTCTTTGCACTGAAGATTAAAATTACAACAGAAGGAACTGGCATCTAAGTAAGTTTTAGTTACACAGAAAGCAAATATATATGAATTACACGTAATTCAGAATATCACTGGTCTGTCAGAAGAAGTAGAGTTTCTCTGTATTTCTCTGCTTTTTCTGTAATATGTGGTAACATAAACAGGTCCTTCTAACAGGGTAGAGATTTCTACCATTCCCTTTGACTAGAAGTCAGGCTCCACTGAACACTACCATTCAGAGACCTTTATCAGAGACACACATCACCTGAATCTCAGGAGGTAGCAACAAGATCCTTTAGCATAATGCTGTAAGGCTTCTGTGCTATTTACTCTTTAAAACAAAAAAAGTTCCACAGTTCTTAATGTTACTGCTCCAGAGCATTTAAAAAAACCCAACTTATGAGGATGAGTATCAAGTTTACCCAACTTCATTCCAAGTACCCTAAAGAATGTGAGCATGCCCACACAAACAGTTATTCTGAAATCCAGACTGATACTGAAATTACCTTGTGATAAGAACCAGTAGTAGTTATATTGGATTTCTGCTCCAACTCATGAGTTTAAAGAACAGGCCATTAAATGGCGTACTTGACCAAAAGGGGAAATGGGAAAGTCAACTTTAAGGAGCAGAAGAATGACAGAATTTAAAAAACCATGGATGATTAGCAAATCCTAGTTCAGTATATCCCCTGTACTGTACATACAGCACTTGTCCCTGCTAAGTAATCTACAATGAATAAGGAGAGGAGGAAATTGCTTTCTACCCAACTAAGGCAGCTGCTTTTCTGGGTTGTCACTGACTGAAAGCCAAATCAAGCTGTTAAAGCCTACAAGACTAGTCTTCACAATACTAAACTGTCAAAGTGTTCAGATGTTGGCTAAAGCTGAGGCTTACACACTCTACCTGTCATATCCATAAACTCAAGTAATTTTATATGTATGAAAAAAATAGCCACATTTAGCAGAGTCCATGCACATTCCCACAGCTAAATCTCAACCACTGATGTGTTTTTCAGTGAAGAATCCTACTCCCCATAAACGTTTTCAAAGGGCTCTTTTGAAACACCAGGTAACAATATAAACTCAAGTCCTACTGCCAGAAAGACCAAACAATCAACACTCCTTACTTCTCAAATGAGTTCAACTAAAAATGCTTTTATTGTCAAATATATGCTAGTCACAGAAGTAATGCCTCTGACATCAATCTGAAGATTTGCTTAAAATGCAGAGTTAAAAATTTAGAATCTTGATTTCTCCTTTAAGAACTGGGGTGCTGGGATCTCCAAGGTGAAGAAGACTCATTTCTGACTTCTCATTTCTTCAGATTTGAAGTAGTACAGCTCAAATAAAACTCTGATCATCTCACCTCACAGCATGGATAATAGCATGATATTTGCTCCAAAAGAAAAATAACTTCTATCCTTACATGTGAATTCCAGAATAAGAGTTTAAAAGCAAGAAAGCTGTTGGAATGGTATACACAGTAGTCTTCAGTGAGTAGGATGAAAATTTCAGCAAATTGCACTCCAAGGGGGTCCTCCTCAAAAAGAACTGGACCAGAACGCAAGTCACACCCCAGCTCCCACCTTGAGCAGGCTGCATCTCCCCTCATATCTTGACTTCACAGCCCACTATGCTTACAGACGTTGCCTGAAGACAGTTTAAGTCAGATCTTACTTCTGTAGGTCAATGCAGATCAGAATTCTACAGAAGATCAGCAGCAAAACGGGCAAGAGCGAGATTCCTCCTTGGCAGTAGCACCCGGAAATCACTGGGCCTTGATGCAAAGAAGTGAATTCAAGGCAGCAAGAGAAGCACTGCACTTCTCTGTTACCTTTGCTAGCAGATCTTGCTAGAACTGAATAAATGGTATTTGTCCTACCCTCTTGGCCAGAGGCAGGATGCCCAGATGACAGATGAAGGTTACAGGAACCTCAGCTTTCCCAGAAAATGAAAAATAAGAAAAAAGTACCTCAGACTTGTCTCAGACTTGTGAGTTGTTTTTTTTTTACAGACAGTAATGAAGTTTAAAAGGTACTATTTAAGGACAATGAGCAATTATGTGGAAACTGAGGAAAGGAGCAGATATGCTTATAAGCTTATCAAAAATTTTAGTTCTCTCTACTGTTTTCAAAGTTGCTTCAAGTTTTAAATGGCAAAAAAGAGGTCTGAAATAGCAACAGAAACACTTCAACTTATTTCTGTTAATGCTAGACTAAAGACGGTAAGAACCATATGCTCCTCCTTCTATTAGAGAAAGCATAAGAAGCCACTAGGCTAATAAGAGTCTGGGTGGGAGGGGAGGTGGGGTAGGGAGGACAGATATCAGATCAGATGAAATGCAGTTACTTGCTGTGCACTTATTTGCCACTAAGAATCTTGTTGTTTTCCAGTTAAATACCCTATTGCTGGTGTACTCTGTGCTTCACTGATAAGAGTGAGCTCACTCAGCTAAATGCACTACTCAAACACTGAATCAGAGAAAATTGGCTTAAGAGAGCCAGAGGAGGAACCTGAAAAGAGTGATGTGTCACCTGCATGGGAAGATCTAAAAGATGGGGAACAAATGAAGCCTTCTTTGAACAAGTCATTTTAAGATGATTTTCAAAGTAACTAAAGCCCTGCATTTATATAGTTTTAAAAATCTATGTTTCATACAATACAATGACCTTCACAGAACACCAATACTGAAAGTTTAGGACTCCAGATGTCTATTAATTTAGTTTTTAAAATTCATAAGTGTATTTGTGAAGTAATTCAAGAAGTAATCACTAACTAAAACTCAAGTTACCTCACGTTCCATCCACAGTAGTGCACCAAGTAAAGGACTTCTCCACCTTCGATGTCAGAATCTTTAATACTAGCTTCATACATTTTTTGATTTTTCCCTCTTCCATACCGCACTTGGACTTTCATGCCTGGTGGATAGCATTCAAACTCTTCTTCCTCATTGTTATTGTTGTCTTCTTCCTCCTCCTCCTCTTCCTCCTCCTCTGCTTCTTCTTCATCTTCATCTTCTTCCTTATTCGTGTCATCTCTTGAAAGGTTTAAAAAATTGTAGAGTTAATACGAGATACTTCATAAGCTTTTCAGTTCCAAACCACATATATTGATAAATATTGTGGATGCATTAGAGAGTGGGAAACAGGAGGCTCCAAATACGTGAAACTGTACTACAGCTGAGTAATGTCAGCAAAATAGGATATAGCAACACACACAAATCCAGTGACTGTAAGGTGCAAAAGTGACTAAAAGGAAAAAAATTCCATCAAAATCTGTATGAGTAGAAGTTGTTCAAACTCATCTTTATATGATTCTTGCATGCAGTCTCTTTGCCTAAATATAATTTTCTCACTTAAATCCTTTTCAATATAGATAAAATTTCCTAAATTCCATTTTTTAACCTACAAGTTCTTCAAATGCTTCTTAAAACTTGCTTCTCAAAAAAATCCTTCTTTAATTACAATACATAAACTCTATCTCAATAGATTGAAATTACTGAGTTCTTCAAATGCTTCTTAAAACTTGCTTCTCAAAAAAATCCTTCTTTAATTACAATACATAAACTCTATCTCAATAGATTGAAATTACTGCAACCACAACAAGATTTTGAACAAAAAAACCCCAACACCTTATATGACAGTATTAGCAAATTAAACAACCTGTGCTAATTGATGACCTTGTCACTCCTTGCCAATTACACCAAAAGTATTATAAATATGTCAAACTTGCATTTAATTACTATATAAATACACAAGCAGGTGTTCACTGCTTTCAAAAGGAAGCTAATTTTGAACACATCTTTAGACATTTTGGACCAATTTTCAGAAGCAGTAAGAACCTACAAATCTTTCTCATTTCAGTCATTGGTAGCTATGGGCTGCTCAGTTATCTGAAAATTATCTGCAATCAGCTTAAAGAGGCAGACTAGATTACAAAAGTTAATAGGGGAAAATATCTTCTAATCCTAGACTTCTAAAGCAGCATTATTGGCCGTCGTACCATTCTAATTACACACTCTGTGCCACATGGAACAGATTTAGTTGCTGACTAAATTCACAACAACTGCAGATCACCAATAATCAAAAAACCTGACAGATGGAACAGGTATGTTTGGATATCTGGATAGGAGAACGTAAGTACTGCTCCAAGTCTGATTCACATCAGTATTTTATTTAACTTCACAAAACGGGGAAGTCTGTATTAATAATCTAAACCTTTCCATAGCATTTTCAGTAGAAAATACTAAGATAAGCCAAGCTACTTTTTCTCTGCGAAAGGATGCTCCTTTGTGGAAGTAAAACTGCAGTATTATTATCTAATTAGCTAGCAAAATGTAATTCAAAACAATATGCTAAATTCAACTGTAGGATAACCATACTGATTTAATAAAATTACTTCAGAAATGAATGTTGTCACATATATATATACATGCATAGACACACTAAATATACAAATACATATATGTGTATATATACACACACATGTGCATACACTGAGACAAAGGCTAAAAAAATCCATCTTTTCCTAGTACACCAGGTCACAGAAGACATATCTATTCAGGTATATATGGCATGGACCATACGCTATAATTCTAGAAGGCCAACATTTGAATTTTACTTTTTATGTATAAATGTATGTATATGTGTAAATATACACACACACAGAAAGTCTTGGCCTTCCAGGAAATATAAATGCTGATAGATAGACAGACAGATATAGAACTATATACACTTTGAGTGAACTACTTTGCTAGCGAAGTTAAAACCACCAGTTAAAAATGCAACATGAATAAAAAGCTTTGAAAGCTCACTTATGGCAAAATTTACTTCCCAGAGAAATCAAGAAAAGAGGTGCCCAAAGAGTCAGACAAAAAATTCCTGAATAGGATTCCACAGCTAATAACAAAAAGTGCCAACTAGTAATTTAAATGATTTTACGTTATACTTTCTGCTGCACTAAACAAAAACTCCTAGCCAATTTCAGTACAAAAGCTAAAAAAATGGGATCAGAAGCAGAGCCACCACTGCTCCAAGAACTAGAGGAGCTTTTGATTTTCCATTACATTTACATTATACACTTCAAAACTGCAGTGAACCAAACTCTGCCTTTTTAGTTTCTCTCCAAGATCTAGGGGCACAATTCTCTCATGCTGTCTGCAAAGTAAAGTATGCCTATGCTGGAGATTCAGGATTTTCCAGACACTGGCAATTATGGTACCAGTGACTTTTCAAAAGCTAAACAAATTTGGAGTCTCTCTCATCTTGGTGTCCCAACATACCCTACAAAGACTCCATGAAAATACCAGAAATTGGTACCTTCTGGAAGAGATGTGTGAAACCATCACTGTGAGTAACTTGGATGGTCAAGCAGATGTGAACAGCAGACTGAACATAGGTGGAGGGCATGTCAGGAAGCAAAAGCAAAATGGCAGCAGAGATGGCTGTAATTAAAAAGTGTTCTAAGGAGTGACCTGGTCAGCTTGAGGTTTTAGGAAACCAAACAGAAGCAAAAAATATTAACCATTTTAGAGCAGAGGAAACCCAACACACTCATATAGCTCCTCGAACAAAAAAGCAACAAAAAACCCCAACATAAAACCCAAGAACACATACCAACAGTTGCAAGCGTCTTTTAATGTCATAAATAGTTCAAATCTGGCAGTGCAGACAATGCAGAAGCTGTGACTGCCACGAAACTGAGGTTTTTCTAAGAGGAAATTGTGATTGTAGGCATCCACTATGCACAGTCATAACTTCATTAGTCCATGTATGTATGCATGAGATCACTGGATTTTCTTCAATGCTGTTTAGTCAAAATCCCATTTGGGGGAAGGGCATGGGGGAAAGGTTTAAAAAAAAAAAAAAAAGATAAAAGAAAAAAAGAGACAAACCTCTTGGCAGCAGACAATAATTGTCAACTTAAAACCAGTACCAAGCAATATCTACCACAAAGCTGCAATAATTTGAACAACCCAAGCAGCAGCTGATAAAACAAGGCAGCAGCAGATGGGCATACACAATGTACAGGAGACACAGCATACAAGTGTAACTCTGTTCCAGAATCCAAAGTATTACCAGAAAGCTTATCAGGACTCAAAAGCATTACAAATTACCACAGACTAAAAAGAATACCTTTACCCCATCTCACATGGATTGGGAAGACAAACCTTCAGAAACAAGACATGAATGAATTAAAATGCAAAATTATTTGTTAATAAAGTGAAACCATTAAAATGTTTAGACTATACGAATATTGCTTATCATTAGTTTCAAAGGATAAGGCAATATCCTCAAAAGGCTAAAACCACACACACAGTAGGTCACTCTGTCAATATAAAGATTTAACACCAACAAGCCCATAATTAAGTGTATTAACAACCAGATGCAGTTAATAAGTGAAGCACTGCTGCTCTCACATCACTCAAGAAAATGCAGCATCATGCAAATCTCTTCTAACCCACATTCTCTGGCACTAAACCGGAGCTGAAACTAAACCCAGGTGAAACCTATGAGACAGAGTATGATGTGGAACATTATGTCTGCCTCCTAGAATTCCTGTTTTGCAGCAAACCTAGCCCTACTCCAATACACTTCCCCTGACAGACCAAACTGGTACACACAGCAGGTGAGATGGCACATGCAAGATTATTTTTTCAGGGGTTATTATAAAATTTGAGGAAGCAAGATTATTTCAATTATTGGCTTAATTAAGTCATTACAGTTAATTGAATCACCAGCAGAAATAAACTTTAGTATAATTGACACTTCAAGTTTAGAAATCAGCTTCTATTTTTGTTTCCTCCTTATTTTTTTCCTTCTTCTCATCCTAGAACCTAAGTTAACCTCTACTTCTCATAATACAGAGCTGAAAGATGTTCAGTCTCTCTTCACATTGCCAATCACAGATGTATTAAGGTGACCTCAAGTTTTAAGGTAGAGAGGTCATTAAGACCTTTACTCATACCAGGACAATGGAATCTCATCTTTAATTACACAAAATAACATCTCCCCAAAAATCACCAGTATTTGTCTTCCCTCTTGTTCTGGTTTTGGCTGGGATGGAGATTATTTCTCCTTGGTAGCACAGTGCTCTGTTTTGGATGCACCAGGGTGGGAGGAAAGCGAGCCAGTGGTTGCATGGTACACGACTGCCAGCTGGGTTAAACCACTGCACTTCCGAAGCTACAAAGAAAATCTAAAAATAAAAGCCCAAGGGACTTCTGTCTGCACACAGAAAGTTGGAATAAATGCAGTTGGGGTCCTTTGTCCCAAGGAAAAGGGAAGGCACTACCTTGATCTGAGTCACAGCTGAGTGTAGTACAGTACACTTCAATCATACAAGCACATTGGCTGTGATGAGTGTGCTCCTCTGCCACAGATGGGTGAGAGGACCTCATGTTATCGCTCCTCATCATTCAGCCACATGTGTTGAAACATTCCTCAAAAGGATAAAGGGTGGTTCCAAAGTCTGACTGAAGAGTACAGCCCTTCCTGTTTTTAGAGCACTGGTTCACATTCACCTTGGAAGCATCCAGTATCTGATGAGTGTTTAAAGACTCTCCCACACATCACATACACCTCAATGACAGCCACCGTGGTTAATAATTTGCACAGTGACCATTTCCTATGTAAAATATGATGGCAGAACCATTTTTCCCAAATCAGATGTCTCCCTTCCATTCTATACAAAGAGCCAGTATGTCTACACCACCCTCTACACTTCATTTGCAGCTAATTGCTGTATCAAAAGCAATCACTACATGTATGCATGTATCAGTCTGTATTCTATATTAAGAAAAAACAATCAATTAGACTGTTTCTGAAAACATGACTATGCAATGAACTTCTTTCATCATACAAAGACAGCTGAAATACATAAATAGAATACACATCACAAATAAGAGCACTGAAATATATTCCTATAAATAAAACTACTAAGTATGGTTCTTATAAGCATTTTTCTTTTGCACACACACCAACAATCTACGCTTCTGAGCATAGATTTACACTATCCAAGCACTGAAAATGACACATTTTCCCAAGCAAATCATCAATTCCACATAAACTTGAATCAAACTGGAAAAAGCTATCTCAATACATAGTTCTCAACTCTTCAGAAGCGTAGAGAGATGCCTTTATTATCAAATATTCTACACTCCAAAAGATTCTAACCTTCTTGCTACCATTTCAGATCCACCACCACAATGATGCGTCATTTCAAGAGATAAGGAACTGAAGAAAATATTGCCTCTTACAATGTCTTTCTCTTGTATGTGAAATGGAGCTTCTGACTATTACATAAGCCCACTGTAAACTGCTTTCAGAAAATACCTAACAGGTGTTATCAGAAAATTTAACTCTTGTACAAAAAGCTTCAGCAGCAGCACAGGCACAGCAGGTAGTCTCTTACCCCACAGGAGCAATACCCCTTAGTGAAACCCTTCACATGAAACAATGCCCATCTTTACTCAGTTTTCAATTGCTGCTTTTATTATTTCTAGTTCCCTCCTACTGCTTACAGGAGGGGAAATGTTACTACTGCATGAAAGATGCATGTAACAGCTTTAAGATTAAGATTTTTCTCTTGCAAGTGAATGAATGGCTGATAGTCTTGGACAGAACTAAACCAAAGACTAAATGTTTAGCAATTTCACCTTGTGATATTGTCAAAATATGACAGTACCAGCTACCAGAGAACCATACCATAAAGACCTAAACGATCAGTATCAGATAACTAGAAGTGTTTAGGTTTCTAAAGCATTCCTTAAGGACATTTGTTCATGCATTCCTTGAAGAAAATAAAAAAATTAGACCATTTTCAAGAACAAGAAACAAATAAATTCAAGAGGTTTCCTAAGGCCAAAGAAGGACTTGTGAAAATGACAGTCTGATGAGCAAGACAAGGTAAGATCAAGACTTGGCAGCCCTTCCTGGTGCTCAGGCAGTACCTCAGCCACAAGAAAGAAAATACAAGAACAAAACCTCTCGCAATGTCTATGCACTGGAACTGGTATTCTTAAAAGAATTTTTCCTGGGCACCTCAAAAACACAAATACTACCCATATATAAGTGTGCTGCCAATTTTTGTTGAGCAGCAAAAATTACCCAGATTCTCAGCATTTAAACTTTCATTTCAATATGAAGTTCTTGATAGTGGTCTGTTCCAGGTGTCTTAGAGCAAAGTGTTAAAACCAAAATAAAACAGAAAACAAAAAACGAAAAAAAAAAACCCAACCAACCAAACAAAAAAAATTCTCAATAAAAACTCCAAAACCAACACAGAAAGTTGGAGTTGAATTAACTATCTGGGGGGGAAAAACAAATCTTACTAATATTGGTTATATAGCAATTAACCTACACTTCAGTTTCTAAACTGCACCTACTATGAAATTTTTAAACATTTACATTTCATTTTATCAGCCTGTACTAAAAAACCCACACCTTCTAAAAACTCCACTAGGCTCTCGGCCTCAATCTCATTGGAACATATTCAATTGTCTACACAGTTCATTATGTAGAAAAACACCTCCATTCCCAATTTGTTGACTTTGACTCAAGTGTTTAACAAGTTAAAACAGATGCTACACAGGAAACAGCACACCCCCTATGCAATGCTACATTTGAAGATCATGACTTCCACAACATCAAGTTTGTAGAAACTTCAGAAGAAGGGTTTTGAACTTTCTTGTTTATTCATTGGCCAAGTATAACTACGTTTTTTTGATGTTATGGAAAAGGATGATTTACGAAGTCAGCTTTGTTAAGAACCCTCTGAGACAGACACATTCCTGGCTTTTTTAAAAACTTGTTTTAATGACCACAAATTGTACAACCTGTATCTAACACAGGTATCTTCCATTAGCCACAGGAAAAAAAAAAGAAAAAAGGGAACAACAAAAGCATGTATGGAATAAAGGGCAAGGTGCCCTTTGAATCTCTACTCTCAGGGTTCACAGATACACAAGCAGGCAAGAAACTGGCACTCTGGGGAAGAAAGTAAGAGAAAGTTGAGCCTTTCTTCCTCTTCATCATATTGTTAAAGTCTGTGTAGATGGAACCATACAATTCAAGTGGCAGCAATCTCAAAAGTTTGAGAACCGTGGGACTGCACAAAGAAACAAAACCCGTAGAAAAGAAACAACTCTGGCTTCCAGCAGTATTTCCTGAGATTTGGCAGTTGGGAGTTACATCCAATCCCCCCATAAGAAAGTCAGCAAGAAGAAACCCTGAAGTTTTTTCTATCCTCATAGTTCCTTGTGTCTATAGACAAATAAGCTACATGAAGATGTCCAAAGTCCCACAGATATAAATGCAAATAGAAAACTCTACAAGTTTGCTAATATAGCATTAGATTTAATTTGTTCAGCTATTTTGTTAGGACTGTGAAGGACAAATGGTCCATAACTTTAAAAAAGTTCTAGGAAGACATTTTAAATACACCAAATAACAAAAGTTCAGTCTGAATTTCACACTGATTTATTTTGATTACATTTCAGGTATTGGTGTGTGTGATTAGTTTGCTACCTAAAACATGCCTATATTCATTTTGCATTTCAGTTCAACAAAGAACTCCAACCACAGCATTTCCATCTTTGTTTATAAGTTCTGCCACTTCTAATCCATTAAGTTTGGTATAGGGAAGTACAACATCTAATACAATGCCCCATAAATTTCCTTTAAGCCTTTATGGCATAAATGCTAAAAACACTGTTTAGCATTGAGGATGACAGTGACATTTTTAAAAGCTCGTTAAAGCTGATACAAGTGCATTTTGTACTCCCTATCAATCTGAGAGGGAAGTAGGGAAAAGTAACCATGCTAAGAGTGCTACTACAGTAACACTGCTTATAAATACTTACAATTAACTGCTGTAAGTCTTCAATTTTTGTAATTTAAATTATCCCTTCAAACACAGCATGCGAAAGTATAAGGAGGTGTCATTGTCTGCTTTCCCTGTTGTAATAGCTTCTCCCTTAAGCAACTGTTATTGGGTTTTCTTGAAGAATACTGTATTAAAAGAGATCTATCTGACCTCCAAGAGGAATTTTTGTTTTCTTAACACTAGAAATCATACTGTGTGAGAGTTTTAATTGTAAGAATACAAATTGTTAACACATGGGATTAATGAGGACTGTATTCCGGTCGTACTTTTTTTGTGTGGCTGCTGAAAAACACTTGTGAGATTTTCCCGCACTGAAACAGGAAAACCTGCCTCTTTCATGAACCAAATGATTCACACACACTCATTGATTAGATGGTCCTGAGCACCCCTATTATTTCCATCTCCTACTTTAAAAACACCTGTCTGAAGATGGGCACAGGAGACACCTGCCAGCCCCAGGCCTATTCAACAGAAAGGCTGTTAACTGAGCAAGGCAAGGTACTTCCATCTTTTTCCATGTTACACACCCCAGTGCAAAAGCAAAAGCTGGAAACCACAAGTTTCCACAATATACTTCTACCAAAGTCAAGTATAAAAATACTCCTGGCAATGATTGAGATATTTTTGTGTTAAATCAAATAGTGACTTATGCTTTGTATATTCTGCTCTCACTCAGCATACACTTAAGACTGGAACCTAAAACTTTAAGTAAAACTTAAGGTGCCTTTTCCTTTAAAAATAGACTGATGAACTTCAATGGCCTAACCACAACAAGTTATGAACACATCAGTCTCTGGAAGATACGAGTCTTATTAACAACGGCATGTCTGATTTGAAGTTCAAATAGCAAGAGTAAAATTTAAAAAACACCTATGTCTCATCTGATTAGAAACAGCATAACTTACCCTAATTTTTCTTTTTCTTCAGCATCTGCATTTACTGTAGGATTTTCCATTTCTTTGATCTTCTCCTCCTCTTTATCTTCCAATTTGGTTTCGTCTTCAGTTTTGATTACATTTAAGTCCTTTTCTTGATCAGGCTGAGTAAACACAGAATCTGGCAAGTTTTTTTTGTTTCCCTATGATAACAAAACCTTTAGTTAACTCACAAGGTGAAAACAAAGGATTTAAGAAAAGGCAGACAAAACACACTTAAGTTATAAGAGCAAAACAATGCTACAGTGTGGAGCTTGTCCTAAAATTACAGCACCTCTGCTGCTTTTCCTTTTGAAAGTCTTAAGCTAAACCTAACAGTTTGAAGGTGCAGACAGTGTCCTAGCTTGTTTTATCACAATGATATAGACATGCAGCTCTTAGGCCTGGACTGCAAAGCAATCCCCAAGACAAACACTTCACAAAGTATACTTCCACTTGGGATGCAGAAATACCAGTATTGGCCCATCTGGTCTTCCTCCCAGAGAATGCCTCCCTAGCAAAAAGACCAGGTCTGGCTGCCACTTATTACAGCTGTGTTGCACAGTGACTTGAGGAGCCACACTGCTTCCACAGTAAACTCCAAGGCCTGTACAGTGCAGCACGTCAGTTTATGGCCCTGAACTTTCTTTGCTAAAGCCATTGAGTCAACAGTGGATTTTTAAAAGCTATAAACATTTGTTTCTCTGGACCACTAAACTACATGAGAACATTTGTACATAATATGTCCCAGCTTCACTGGTTTCACTGGAACACACAAATAACAGCAGTATTTAGGAAGGCTTACAAGCATAGCTAAATGCATAATGAAAATATCAGCAATAGCATTAGTTGTTAGCATGCATTACCCAGATAAGGATAAAGTTGGACACTAATCAGTCTCCATTTCACCTGGAGACCCTCAAACAAGTGGAATGTTGGAGCTGTTTTCTAACAAGTCAGACATTTTGACACCATGACCCACTAAAACAGGCATCTAGGGTAAATACAGTTCAAATGTCCTGTTCTGAATTAGGTTCACAGTGAGTTTTTGTCTTATTTTAAATCCATCATAGAAATTTCAATCTTTATATTAATCATGGTTATTAAGACACCAACAGACTTTATAAGCAAGATATAAGATGAACTTTAAAATATATTACCAGAACAGAGGGCTTATCATTTTCTTTACTTTCATTATCATTCTCGGCTGACTTTTTTTCTTCTTGTACTACTGCTACTTCTTCCTGCTTGCGCTCGTCCTTGTCCACTTTTATTTCCTTTGCATCCGGCTCTGGTTCTTCACGCATTTTCAATTCTTTGTCTTTTTCACAGTCTTTACAAGGCTTGTTCGTCACTTTCTCTGGCAATGCCATTTGAAATTCAATGTTAGCTGATGTACAATACTCTTCAAAACCATAGAGATATCTAAAAGAAAAAATTGTTTGTGATAAGCAAGTTTGACTAAAGAAGGAAAATCCAACCTAGAGATGCTAAACGTGGGCAGTAGGTTTAGAGCCTTAAAAATTGCATTATAACCAACGAGTTATGGATTTTATGTATATTACCCCTAGCATAGGATCACTTCAGTTCACTGTAACTTTAGCATAAACTTCATGGCTTCATTACTTACTTTCTATATGCACATTTAACATTATATCCTGCAGCTGAATTTAATACAGGGATTCCAAGATCTTGATAAACTTGCTTCCACACTGCTCCACTTTCAATCTGTTAAAGACAATAAAGTCATTGTTTTTGAATTAATTCACTCACAAAAAAACTAAATTGACAAAGTTTACTGCTTCAGAAAATAAATGTAAGTAATTTCCTCTGATCTATAAAACTGCTATTTATCACACGCACAGTATTTCACTGTAATGCAAACTGTAGTCTAATGTAATCACTTTAAGCAATTTAGCATTTCTGCAATGCAACAAGCCACAGCAGGCTTTCCTCTCCAGGTGGCAATAAAACAGAGGAAAGAAAATATAGCTATCAGAAAAATCAGTACATCATTTTTTCTTTTTATTTTATATTTAAAGTAATTCTTAACTATCAGAGCTAGAATTTTCATTAAATTGGAAAGAAAAAAGTAAGTCAAAGCATTAACATACTCAGCCCTGGTAGTACTGCACCAGACACAGTGCCTACCAGTCTTTCATTATGTCCTAAATGTGCCCTATGATGACAAATTCTGTGATGTGCCCATTTCTAACCATCTGTGAAGGTAAAGCAGATGTACTGCAATACCCACATACCACATCCTGTCCTGTCTGTCAGAAAGGCATCACTGCACACACAGACCTCCTCAGCTGTCAGGCTACATTCATTGGAAGTTCATGCACAAACAGAATCTGCTTGGCCATGAATTCTATGTATTTCAATTACTCCTCCCAAGACCAGCTTCACTAACCCCATCAGCAAATTCTTCTTTACACTGCCCAGAATAAATAGAAATTAAGGGCCTCACATCAAGCCACTAAACTGGTCGCCTTTGAGATTTTACTGAGCAGTGACTCCTTTCACGCGAAGGTAACAGCTTTATCAGACAAACATTTCCTAAAGTATTACAAACACACACATGCTGGCTGATTTTATGCAGTAATAATTAAACAGGCTGAATAGATGTGTAATTTGTTTAGCTTTTAACTAGTTCTGGTTGATGTTAAAGCATGGTTTTTAGAGCAACAAGGAGTCTTATGCAGCCATAATAGAAAAACTGCAATACATCCAATGGTCCTGTGTTATTTATCAGTACTTCACAGAGAAACAAATTATTTAACAATAATAAACAGCATCCTCAGGTTTTATGGTTCTGGAGTACTCATCATACTAATACTCACGTTATCAAATCCTCCAAGCTTGTGTACAAGTCTGAATAATTTGAAGAGATTCAAATTTCTATATCCTAAGACAGGTCGTTTGTTAATAGGAGTCCCTGGGTAACAAAGACAGCTGTTAGGGTGTTTTGAAGTTTTTTTTTTTTCAGAATAACATGAAATTCGTGCCATATGCACTATTATTAAATACAGTATTTTAAACCCCACCTCCTGCATACTTTCTTTTCACGGAACTAAAACTCTAGAGTCTTACTGGACTAGGGAGAAAATAGGTCATGTTATTTAATGCATATATATACATTCTCCCATACATTACTGAACATGCAGAAATGATGCAAATTTTCTTCTTAGCTCTATTGTACATACTTTTATTTCACCCACTGAAATAATAACATCTAAAAATACAATAGTCATTTTACTGACATAAAAAAACCCAAACCAACCTTCACCAGGAGCAATCCCACAATGCTTCAAGAGCGGAAACTTCCTATGCTATTGTACTAGCAGTAGCTCTCACATTGTCATCTCTTGTTGAGTTGAACTCATTTCATATGGCATTAAAGAAGATACTAATTTAACCAGTTATAATAGTAATTTAAATACAGATACCCTCACTCCTGCCTTTTTTTGCAATATATAAAAACCTGGTAAAGATTTAACATAATGAATGGTTATGGCTTTCAAGAACATCTCAATCTACGGATAGTGTTCATGCACTTAAGCTACCAGGATTCACAAAAGAAAAAATTAGCACAAAGTAAGTGCATTTTTCCATGACCTAAAAGGTGTGTGTGTCAGTATTTTAAAGTTATTAAGCTGAGAATATAAATTAATATGACTGAGAGTATTAAATGTTTGTTTATACACACTATAGCAAACATAGTACAACATATGCAAAACATAATAGAACAGATATTTATATACATCCACTTATTTCTGAAAGCAGAAATATGGGACTGCATTTTAGGAGATGAGTCAAGTGACAGACTCATATTCCAAACAGTAGGGAAGGCAGAAACTGAGTACAGTTTCCTTGTTTCCAAAATCGTATTGCAAAGCACTACTAGTTTACAGGCTCAGTTTTTCAAATTACTGCTAACTAAAATGCTTACCTCTGTCTTCCATGAACTTGTACAACTGCTGAAGAAAGTTCTCTCGTTCTTCAGGAAACGGCTCTATTTCCTCCTGTTTAAAGCAACGCACGCAAGAAAACTATCACCATTTGGAGTTACAGTCCTTTGTTAAGAAACATAAGGCAGTGATAATTTAGGTTTAAATGTTTAAGTTTGTTTTACTCTAGTCAGCAACAGGATATGGCACAAAGAGATACATGCTCTCCGTGCTATGTCACATGAAACCAAGTTTTATAAACTACAGTGTTTCAAGATATATAAAACATTGACTGTAAACATACATCAAAATTGGATTTTTGACTGATCACTGAAGTATCATAAGTGATACCATAGATCAAGATGTGTTCTCAATTTCATCCATCTATGCAGAAAATCTGGGAGACAGTCCTATTAAGATCAAGGGTTTATATCAGAAATTTCAGCTCTATTTCTATTGCAGTTAAGTGACTCCTTGGTTCCTGGACAGACTACGTCACTTTCAGAGATGAAGTCAAAGAGCAAATGGTGCTTTCACTTTCTTAGGAGTTCTAATCCACTGCACTGGCAAACCGCGGCCAATGGCACTGCATGCGAACTGCCATGGGGCACCAGCTGAGCACGTGCTGAGCAGGATCAATCCCAGAACTGAAATAACAATGGATATTTGGGGAATTCAGTTCATTGCACTAATAAACCTTTGTATTAGATTTACTTAGATTAATAAACAGTGGAGTTTCATAACAAAGCACTACGGCTTACTTTCTAACACCTCATAATTTCTTCTGGAATGGGTCTTGCAAAAACTAGTAGCAATAAGATATTAATAGATCAAATTCTGAAGAAATTCTGATGACTGAGATACTGCAAAACAATACACCAAACATGTGTTGATTAATTTTTAATACTATCCATAGAGTTTCCAAAAATAATTAGTTATTCAATAATCTAAACTAAATTATTTTTCTTTGGTGTATTTGCATTCCATGTTTATAATTTCCATTCTTCAACAGTCTCCTTGTACTAAATATTAAAGTTTCACCTACCCTGAAACAAGGGGAAAATGCATACAGTCTTTAAAGTCATACTAAGACAGTTGAGAAAACAACAGAAACAGAGTATCATTACTAAACAGAACTGGGGAAAAAAAACATACACAAACAAACCCCAAACACTCCAACACCTACTGAATTTATTTCATACAGAGATGTGCAGCTGAAAACAAGGTCAGGAAAGGTTGTAACTATTATCAAAGAGTAGGGTTTTTTCTTATTCTGTACTTCTTCTTACCCATTAAATGCTCTTGGATAACCAGAGCAAACAGGCAAAAAAATTAAAAACCAGTATTCACAATATGCTGAAACAGTTGCTCTTCAGGTATCATTTCAGCAGAAAGGCAATGAAAATACTCCAATCTTGCAAAGGCAATGCAAGAGGAAAGTCTCTGTGAGGGGCATTACATGATGAGCATTTGACACCTAGTGTTAGCAGCAGAGCTCAGAGCAGCAGCTTTGATGGGCAAGGACAGGCTGGGTAGAGAACTGCAATATCCTAGAGATCCTTTTCACAGGGCAAGGCACTACAAATTGGCACATCTAGCCCAATTCTTCTCTAACAAGTACAAGGTGGTGCTGCAGCTCTGCATGCAGTACAGATTAGAGCCTTGTTAAGAACATTCATATTCCACAGGCCATGGAGAACAAATTACTTGGGTGGAATAAAACTCCAAAACTGCATATTCTTTTTTTTTTTCCATCTCTCACAGCAGGTACTTGGAAAGGACTTCTACCAGCATCTGCTGGATCATGGAAAACAGATTATGAGCAGCTACCTGGGTTTCTCATATTCCTCACCAACAAGAAAAAATTTGCCATAAGACATTAGTCTCACAGAACATTTAGGGGAGGGGTGACAGATGTCACTGAACAAAACCCTCAGGAAACCCTACACTGTTCTGAGGAAGGAATGTATTGTTTTTAAATACAGGGGGAAATAAGGTAAAGGTGATGAAGAGGCTGAATAAAATACTCCTTTCCTGCTATAGAGTCCAATGCCTGAAGGGTGCTCCTATATCTCTAATGTGATAAATCACAGAGGTGCCAGAAGGGCAAGTGAATGAATATTCCTTATTAATTTTTCCAGTAGAGAACAAACTAACTATCTAAGAAAGTGTGCTAACATGGAAAGCTTAGGACCCTGCACACCTCTGAAAAGCATTTGCACTTTCTATGAATCTCTATAGAATCAGTATGTATTATACTGTACTAACAGTATCCGTTAATATTCTCTGAATCCAGTCAGACAACAAGGTTTCCTAGATAATGCTTTGAAGCAGGCATGTCACACTGACATTTGCTTATTTTCAAGTTACACAAACAGAGTGCTAGCTGGTCATTCTGCAGTCCCTAATGTATCTGTCTATGCTACAAGTTAAAATAAAGTGGCTTCTACATAGGATAATAAAATCCAGGAAAACAACATGTTTTTTGCAATACAAATTCACACAGTACTATAGCACAGCACTGGAAGAGAGGGTCTTTGATAGTCTTTTTACCTAGTGTCAGATTTTCAAAAACTAAAGGAATGCCATTTTCCAGTCTCTTCCATTAAGGGAAAAAAAAACCATAAAACAAGGCAACTACTCTTCTCAGAAAATAAGTACAGCGGCTTTGCATGTCAACTCCTATCTACACAGGATGGAAGGATGTCTATAGATATGAAATATAGAAGAGCATCTATGTATATATCTACAGAATGGGGTGTACATATATGTAGGATAGACATACATATTTCTGAAGCCCGTGGTGACATCTTTAAGAGCTTGGGTTTTCTGTTTGCTTTGTTCTGGTTTACAGGTAGTAGGACTGCATGGATGGCCTGAGGGAGGCAATCATGTCCTGGGAAGCAGTAAAACAACCTGCAGGTGGATAAAGTCCCAGGAGCAAGCCCACAGGTCCTATTTGGGAAGAGATGCTGCTTGATAACCAGGAGGTTATAGACACAAAATAACAAGAGAAGAAGCTGGAGAAACTGCTCAAATATGGGTGGAGAGAAGACACACATGCCACTGACCACCAAGGAGAGTGAAGAAGAAAAAAGAAGAGGAAAAAAAAAAATTGCTTCTGTTTTAGAAACTTCCTAGTTCAACAAATGGTTGAAATTACTGTTTATGGGAAAAGATATTATCACAAGAGGTGATACAGTAAATTCCAAAATATTTGTCCAAGATGAAATCTTTATGTCCAGCACATGGAAAGATTAGCTCAAACAATGTCACATACAACTAAGAGGAGCTCAGAAGAAGGTGTTGAAGGAGTACAAGGTAAAATATTTACAAATGCTGTAGCTAAAAACTCTGTATTTTTCACCTAAAAGTAGTGCAGGAATGATCACTATATAAAGAGGATGTGTCATTCAGCATACACACAAACTTATCTGCATGCATTATGTTATGGCTGGACATGAACCTGCTGACAAAGTCCAGAAATTGTACTGAGCCCAAGGAACTATTCCTTGCTTCTCAAAATACTAAGCAGAGCACTTCCTGCCCCTTGCAAACTTTTGATCAGAGCTGGATAATCTTCTGAGAGGTTAAACAGGAGGCAGAAAGAAATTACCAGCATGGAGAGGTGGCAAAGTCATAACTTCACACTTTTGCAGTCTCCCAATTAGTTTCAAAGAAATGAATGACTGAAAAATGAAATACTATCTTCTGGTATGCCAGAGCCACAATATCCAAAGAGGATGGACTGAAAGAAGGATTCTAACAACCATTTAAGACCCAAACCAGTTCAGTTTCTTCTTCACAATTCCCCTACTAATAGGAAATGAAGTCTGCTGCACTACTGGTACTTGCTTGAAAACCAAGAGAACAGCTCTCAAACCCTAGTGAGAGAAAAGAGTGATTATGGCAGATACAGATTTAGAGTACCACAGGAAGGTACAGAGAAGTAAAAGGCTCAAAAGCCTCTCAGCCAGTTGTGAAATGTTGTTCTTTCCACTAATACTCTTCTTTTCTTGTCTTAATTTTTTTTCTGGGAGACTAAAAAACAGATGATTAGAAAATCGAGCATGAGGTGGGGACTGCATACTTGCAGAACAAAAAAGAGAAGAAAGGAGGAAGTGGAGTGCATGGGGGTGTAACATCTTGATTGAAAGTTCTGCTTCATTACACAGGTTAGCCAGAGAGATAGCTTCAAGTGGAGCAGTCTCTCAGGAGCCCAGGAAAAGAGCAAGTTATTCAATAATGCCTATGTTAACAGTGTTGCCTATGTTAACATGTTACATGTTATCTAATGTTAAAAAGGCCTACTTAAATATGTATGTCCCTGCTAATTTTTATCAGCTGTGTATCTATGCCCTTTACTAACTTCACTTGCCTCTTCCTCACTGCTGTTATCCTCTTTTTCTTTTTCATCCTCTTCTTCTTCTTCAGCTTCGCTGCTGGAGCTGTCTTCTTTCAATTCTGTTTTCCAGTTACTAGGAACAGTTCTGTTTTTACGGAATTCAAGTGCTTGGTCAAAAGCTGTAAAAGAACAGCCTTTGTTAGCACTCCAGGAAGTATCAGTTTGCACAAATACTTCAATTTAAAAAAACAGCAGTCAGGGGAAATGGGGAAGAGGAGAAGAAGCAAAGGCTGCTAAGTAACAATTCCTCTCCAAATTCAAAGATTCTCAACAACCACTCCATGTTGTCCATCCTTATTTGTCTTACCCAGTCAAACTGGCCTAGTGTTCTCTGCACATCAAGGCACTCAGAGATATTATTAGTATTTTTACCATGTTAGTGTCTACAGACACAAACAAGGATTTTCTGCATAGGGCATATATGAAAATTTAACTGAGGAAACCCCTATCCAACAGATTTACACTGCAGTTTATACATATCAAAAAAAGAGGAAGAAAAAATCACAAGCTAACTCTAAGAGTTTCATCACACAAGCTTAAACTTTCAAATGCACACACAATTCCAGATTTTCAAAGGTCATAAAGGCAACTTACAACTATTAGGGACACTACTGTGAGAATAACTCTAAAGTTCTAAAGCAAAAGGAAAAATATAATGTATAGAACCAATGTGTGCATGTTTGGTGTGTCTACACTTAATGCCAGTGCAGAGCAGGTGGGGTGTTGTTTTTGGGGGTTTTGTTTAGTTAGGTTTTATTTGTTTAAAAAAAAGTAGTTCTTCTAACTTTCCACAAGCATTCTCCTTCAATATATTATTCTCTAACAAAAGATCCTGTATTTTTGGATCTTTAAGACATTAATCAATCTGCCATAGATTTAGTGCAATTCATGTAACTAAGCAAATACATACAAGTGTTTCTCACAGAAAGTTATTTTTACCTTGTTTTAATAAAGCGTCAGGCTTTGGTGAAGTTTCAGTGATTTCCCGGACATCTTTTCTTGGCACAGAAACACTGGAGAATTTACAAAGTGTTACAAAAAAATAAAATTAAAGGTAAACTAACTATACAATACAAAGCTCCCATTAAGATTATAACACACTTACTAAACATACATAAGAAGCATACGAAGTATATCTTGACAATTCTACAGTGTTAATCTGGTACAGTATTAGTCAGTGGATTAAAACCAAAACTTTTACATTAAATTTACTAAACTATATGCATTCACTGCATAATAAAGCATGCTACTTCCACAAACAGGTAGTTTCTGGAATCTCCCATATATGTAATACTTTAAACCCTCATATTAATTTGACATTAATTTAGAACCTTACCTTGCTTAAGACATAAATGAATATTAGTGTAAATTGTCAATATGAAATTAAAGATTTTCAAATAGAAAGAACAAAGCATTTTCTGATTTCTACTTTGTCTACAACCAAGAAAGCAAATCTGAATTGCAGCTCTGGAGGATTGGGGGGTGGGTAAGTGCTTGCGTGCACACCTCTTATGTGTGTTCCTTGGGTGATGTGCACTGATGCTTTAAAACTATCAAATGGTAAAGCAATACCCTAGACTTAGTAAGTAATTAAACCACCACAAAACTGTTAAATATTTAAATATCCTTCTTGCAAAACATTGTGTTGAACTGAACCAAGCACAATAGATAGTTGCAACTTTTAAAATAAAAACTAAAATTAGAAAAAGAATTCTATTGTTGTTAGTTTAAGAACACAAAGTTCTTTATTTTGTTGCAAATACCAGACTGGTTTTCTATGTTTCTCTATCCTTTTTCCTACTTCAAGTAGCACTGCAGCTCTTTGCAAGGAACATGATCAGATGCAGTTGCAGTCTAGGCTGAGATAAACATATGCCTTACTACCTTCAAACAAGAAAGAGGATTTCTGTGTGTGCATGTGGTGTACGTGCAGGCATGCACATGTCCCCACCGACACTTCTGTAGCTGGATAAGCTTACAGCCACATCCCTGAAAAGCACTGCTCTTTTCCAACCACAGCAGGAAAGAGTTTCAGGCCATTCTTAAAGTCACGTAATCCTGCTGTGTTTGCCACAGTTTTAACAATGAAATTAAAACTAAGACAGATAGATTTATGCATCCTATTACTAATAATGACAAAGTTCAAGACTAATTTCATCACCATGTAGGCTGTTAACTGTTTTTTAAACATTATAAGAATCTTGGCAGGAACTTACTGAGCTTACAGATGTGATTAATACTTTACCCAACACATCTCATACTACATTTCACTAGAAGTATAAATTTTGTTCAATTATCAAACTCAACATTCTTACTCACAATTTGCCATCCTTGAATGAGCGAACAAGAATATTGTCTTTTTTCACTGCAATATCATCACTACAATCTGGACAAACCACCTGCAAAGATATTACAATCACAAAGTTTAGAGGGAAAAAGCTAAAACAAGAGGGTAATAGTAAATAGCAGTGCTCCTCTAAAAGCTTTTGTGCTCATTTCTTACTGGCAACCCTGAGATGAGAGCGAGATCCCCCAAACCACAGGAGAGATGACCTGAAATTACTGAATGCATGAGGTCATGCTCGTTCCTAGAGGGAAACCAATGGCTGCTGCCAGAAATACAAGAACAGCATTCTGACAAAATGACAATCAGTCATGCCTCTACAGCTTATTCTGCTCCTCATCCTAAAAGGACAGATATTCCACCAAGTGCTGCCACCTAACTTGGAGACTTCTGAAAACTTCTGGAAATGGCCAAGATGTGATCACACACAGTGTCAAAACCAAAAGCTAACAGGATTTGTGAAACACAATTTTATGAGGGAAGACTTACAAGTAATCTGCCTAGGAGAGAAGAGCACCTCAAGTATTATGATAGGTTCTTTAACTCAAGGGGCAGACTAATCAAGTCTAGCACTGAGACAACATATTATTTGTTGCAATTTTTAAAGCTATTTAAGTTTTGTTAAACTAGGATACAAGTCACTAATCAAAAATCATCAAGAATTTAAATTAAAGATATCTAAATAAATATTTATATATTGAATTGCCAGAGATACAAAACAGAAGAGCAACCCCTCTCCATCACTTATCTGATGTCTCACAATGTGCACAGTTCCCTGAAAGTTAGGAAAACCTCAAGGAGCAGCAAATGACTGTAGCCCTAAGTTAGCCTAGGCAAATACCTCTACTCTCTTATACCAACTTTTGTCTTTCAGTCCTAATTTTCCACAAAACACAAAGATACTAAGTTGCAAAAGTTGGGGTTTTTTCCCTCTCCTTACATAGGTCATTGCCTATGCAGCATTTTAGGAGCTAAAGTCCAAAGTTCCAAGTGATTTAGAAATAGACTTACATATCACAAAGCATAGGATAAATATGGTTCTCAAGACAAATAAAATTTAATAGACCAAGTTTCAAAATCCAATGCATTTAACAGTCTACAAAAAAGTTACTTTAGGAAACTACAACTTTCTAACAGGAATTACACCCAAGATACAGCTTGTAATGTCAGGGTAAAAATCAATTATTATCATCCTCTATTTTAAACAGACAAGTGCAAACTCCTAGCTCTGTAAAGATGAAGAAAGCTCTTCAGGCTTTAGCTACTGGTTTTCTAGAAGCATCAAGATCTTAGTAATCAGAAATTCATTCAGAGGCTGGAAAACAGCTTACCATAACCTCATCTAGTGCCTTTACATCAAGCTACATCACCACAATTTTGCCTGAACCAAGTTTTCTCAATTTTATTGCAAAACAAACTCCACTGGAATTATAGGAGGATGAAAGAGATGATCCTATGTAAACTCAATTTTCTGAAAATGCTACAGGCGGATTTCCTCACTGCACTTTTCAAAAGCCTTTAAGTACAAATAAAAACTAAGCAATGCTATAAGGCTTACTGAATCACACTCTTTGACATAAGGAGCAACTGTCAGACCCTTTTACGATTCTAGTTAGTCACTGTACCCTGCCCTTGCCCAAAGAACTAAAAAAAATAATGAACAAACAAAAACCCCACTAACCCAGACATGTATACAGGAACAAAACAATGCATTCAATCACTGAGACCTCAGAGTAATTTTTTACCAAATTTAGAATTCTACAGTTCTACATTTGTAAGTGATAATCTATTTGGTTATAGGCGTGATCTCTGAAGTACCTGGTTTCCACTACTAATTTTAATTGTTATTTGCTTTAAAGGTTTAGATTAATCCCTGAACTTGTTTTCACATCATAAACTTGCACAATGTCCTCTGTGCTTATACACAAAGTATCTGTACGTAATACCATTAATAAGAAATAATGCTGAGATGCACATTCTTACGCATATTAAATCTGAATTTTCATTACATTATTCATGAAATTACCATAATACAAAGTTAATGCAAAATTTATCAGTAATAAGATAAGATTACTTTGTTGATACAGTAGAGGTAACCTGCTTACAAGGTAAAAAAATCAAGAGGCAAGCCAAGCCAAACCAAAAAAGGCACCCATTTGAAGTATAAATTTATCCTTTGGCACAGCTTTTCTGGTTAAATGCAGTATGATGTTTGTTTGTAGAGCTATAAACCTGATTACTAAAGCAAGAGTTAATCTAGGATAAGCTATTTCAGAGTTAACAAGCTTCACACTCAAACTTTATCCCCCTACTGCTTTTCATTTGTTGCAGGAAGCTTTCAATGAATAAGAAGCTATTCCAATCTTTAAAACAAAGCCAAGGAAATAATTGTGTATCTTTAGTATATCTTTGGAGCAGAAGCAAAAGTTTAGCTCCTCTTTAGAGTCTGAAACACGGCTGTCCTGAGCAGCACTTCACGACTCACAAGCAAGCCCAACCCCTCCCAGAGAGCACACCATGGAAACTGGCAGCTGTCATGGGCATGACGTGAACGGCAAACCCAGCAGTCTGACAAACTGCTCAAGCCAGTTTCACTGACCGCTTCTCTGAGTGAATTGTGAGGCAGGTAATACTGCATCCTTTTGATGACAGCTTTCAGCAAAGAAACATCTCGATTTTTCTTGTTTACCACTGAAAACATCTCTTAAAGCTATCTGCTGTAAACATGGGATCTCTTGCTGTACATTCTGCCCTCTCCCTTGTAAAAAAGACTTCAGTGACTCTTTCTCTTCCACAAACTTCCCCAAAAGAATTCCTACTGGAAAGCTGCTGGACTGCATTACAAGACACAGCAGGTGACAAGCAAAAAGCTGCAATTGAGAGCTATTGCACATGCTAAGAGGAGTTAAATGTTACTGTATGGCATAGTTTCAAAACCAGAGCACAAGTCTCCCTGAAATTAGATAAACATGTTAAGCTTTCATTGCCAGGGAGAAATTAAACAAATATTAAATATAAAATTAATCAAATATTAAAAATAAAATAAAAATAAAAAAGCATGGTACTAGAAGGTACCACATATAGAAATATATTAATTTCCAAATATATCAATCTGCATGCAATCACTAGACTAGCTGTGATATGTTTTTAGAAGTTGATTTTTTAAGAAATGTCTTTAAGCCAAAATAAAGTAAGAGGAAAAAATACTGGTATCAAAAGACTACAGTGTAATTTTAAAGTAAATTTATTGTCAATTTTCCACTACCTACTATAGTGACCAAGAAAAAAAACCATTTTATTTTATTATCAATGTGTTTATATTGGATGTTGAAAAACCATGCCTATATAATCACTAAACTTCCCCTCGCTTTGTACTTTATATTTCCTTCCTTGATAAAACACAGTAATTTGGAAAATTGATATACAACAGTCTAGGAAAAAAGTCCTGAAATTCTAGTCCAATAGTGAACTCTGAAGACACTGCCGAGCTGGAATTAGGTCAACAAGCTTTGGCTGTTTGGAAAAACTAAGGCCAGGTTAGAAATCCCTTTTTTTTAAACATATCTAGATATATTTCCTTAGACTGTTATTGTACAGTCCAATTTGAAAAAATACATTCTAAAATTTGAACAAAAAAATAGCAAAATGAAAAAATCCCACACCTCTCTCAGTGCCTAGAAAACAATAAAAGCTGTACAAAATTACAATAAAGACGAAAGTCTTACCAAGGCTGGAAACCACAGAGCTTTCTTTTTATCCACACTGAAGCAGTCCACACACACAACTTTTCCTAGCAATTCATCACTTTGTTTCCTATCATCTTCATCTTCATCGCTGGAAGAGGATGAAGATTCTTCTTCAGGACTAAACAACAGAAAGAGACTTAAAACTCAACTATTCAAAACTTGCTTATTGCAATTACAGGAGATCCAAAGCAAATTATCCAAGAGACATAAATAACAGTGACTTGAATTGTCTGTTAGGTGTTTTGGCATAAAAATTAATAAAGTATTTATAATTATATTATAGTAACAATTCAAACATTACAAACTCAGAAATGCACATATACTGCTAATACATGTAAAACCCAAACAAAACACAACCATGCACCCACAGGGAGGAAGAGAAATGCATTGTCAGGGTATTCAAAGTGAAACCATTCTGCCCTACATAAACACTGCTGAAAAATACTGTTGCAGTTGTAGTTTTGGACCACTGTTAAGCTAAACTGTTTTGGTTTTCCCTCTTAATCTCTCTATGCTTTACTTTAACAACCACACAGATTGGGAAGCCATTTTGAGAGAGGACATATTAAGAAGAAGCATCAGATACAAAGATGAACAGCAAAGAGGAAGTCTGTTTATCCTTAAACAATTCTTTAAAGTTGTGTAATGAAGCATTTCTATGACTTCCAACTTCACATTTGACGAAGTGCTGGAATGTAAGTAGATGGGCTAAGGTGCAAATGTATTTTCATTTAAAAGGGCTCTGTCTCATTGTTTTGACTGTTCAAGTACAAAGCTGCACCTGGTTTTAACCATATGAGGAGTCTAAATATACAAACTAGTCAAACTAAAATTACTTGCAACCAAGAAAAAAAGAAGAAAACCCTCTCTTGATTCTCTCTGTGTATCTTTTTAAAATAGTCACTTCAAAGTTTAATCCTCAGAAAATATACAGCATCATCTTCCATGAGCACAAACACTATTACTTCAAAAGCTATTTTCCATTTCTCATATAACTGCTTTTGAGTACAAAATTCAACACTAACAAAAAACTCAGTTACCATTTGTGTAACACAAGGCAACTGATGTACAATTTAAGGAGAATTTCCTTTTCTCTACCTTAACTTTATGTTATTTCCAGTGATGATAATTGTTTTGGTTTAGCAGTGTTTTGATTTATTTTTTTCCCTAACATTACTTTTTTTTTTAAGTAATGGTTTCTTTTAAAATATACTAAAGTCTTTTACTTCAGAAAGATGCTTTCACACAGGAAGATGCTTTCTGGGGCTCAAGAATCTCTTGTAGGAAGAGAAAAAACTCAGACTAAAGAGAAAGCCAGAACTATATTGGAGAGACTACTTCCTAACTCAAATTGCATAGATACTGGCATTAAGTGTCTTTAAACTCAGTTAACTCAGTATTAACAAAAAATGTTGCTTCTGACATAATAATGTCCTTTACAACCCAGTCAGTCACCAAGGATGCTACAATTACATTCTTTGTGGTAATGCCAACTTTTTTCAGCTTTTTCTTTCACTACCTCACAAATTAATAAATCAACAATTTTCTGAGTGAATTTATAGCTCCTCTATATATACAGGACAACATTTATTTCAAGCTACTAGAAAATGCAAAAACCCAGATATGAAAACATCTATACCTAAAAATTTTAAGCAAACAAGCAAAAAAAAAAAAAACCCACATAAACTTCCCTCCCCCCCACAAAAACCTCACAACCTACCCACAAAAAATGAAGAATAGGCAGTGGACTACGTAACACTGGTTTATCAAGACCACAGCTATCAAGAATTTTGGCACCTAAGAATTTTTGAACTTTGCTTTCATATCAGCAAGCTTTGTTGCAAACTATAATAGAAGCAGCAGGAAGACAATAATGCACAGGAAGTTCCACCTGAATATGAGGAAGAACTTCTTTACTGTGCAGGTGACCAGGCACTGGAAGACATTGTCCAGAGAGGAGGTGCAGTCTCCTTCACTGGAGATGTTCAAGAACCACCTGGCCTCAATCCTGTGCCACGTGCTCTATGATGGCCCTGCTTGAGCAGAAAGGTTGGATAGATGCCCCACTGTGGTCCCTTCTAACCTGACCCATTATGTAATTTGGTAATACTGCTCATATATTTCTAAAAGCCCTTCAGAGATCCTGTATTACAGAGAAACCAAAGGTCTGTAAGAGGATTCTGAGACCTTCCATAAAGACTTCCTATCAGCTGGACAAAGACTGCATTGTAATTATTTTAGCCTGAGTCCAACATATTTACAACACTTCAGAGATGTTTGTCAATATAATTTAACATCACATTTCCATTTGGGATGCCAACTTTTTTTTTTTTTTTTTTTTTTTTTTTTTTTTTTTCCTTTTTTTTTTTTTTTTTTTTTTTTTTTTTTTTTTTTTTTTAACCAAGAAAAAGTTCTTGCCTATACCTGCTATTATTTTAAATATTGATTATATTAAAACTTGAAATGCTTGCATGCAACAATAGACATGAACCTGACTTTCAAACTGAGTGCTAAACAACATTTTTAATCCAGCCTCCTGGTTTTTTTAAATAAGAGGAGGCTGAACATACAAATAAAACTTGACGCACTCTGAAAGTTTCAGCATTGATTACACACAGCACAGATATCAAAAGTTTTAACTTACATATGATTGGATCTCCTTCCCCTGTTTGTTTTCTTTCCTATAACAGGAGTTCCAAAGTGTTCAGGATTGGTGAGTGGAAGCTGATCTAATGTCTGTTGAAATGAAAAAATACATATGCATATACATAAGAAAAATCTGGCTTAAGTTACTCTACAAACCACCTGTCACTGAAGCAATTTTTGCCAACAGAGACTTTCTCATGAAAGAAATACAGAAGCACATAATATATGCCACACTTAGATTTTAAAAAAGGAATGTGTTTTGTTTTGCAGCTTTTTTCAACACTTTCTCTGCACCTCTGAATAATTAACTTTTGTCGAACACATGCAAACAATTCTTCCCAGAAGTCCTGCCTTTGAACCATCAAAACATAGAGAAATAAGTATCAGGTATTCTGCTCACCTGGCATATTCCACCTCTACCTCAACTGGTGTACCCATGTCTACCAGATTATTTTTCTGCCTATCATACAAATTAAGACTAAATACTGAATCATCTACTTAAAAATGAACAAAGATCCCTTTTGAAATGAACAGCAAGATCATTCAACAGCAGCAAACACAGCAACTTGTTTTAATTTTTTTAAGTAATTTATACTTTGCTATGTGAGAAAGATTATAAAACAATTTTAAAGAGGCTGCTATATTGATAATTGGGAGGGTGCTAATTGATGCTTTATCAGCCTCAAAACAAAAAGAGAGGGAGAGAAAGAACTTTCCCTCTTCAGGAAGAATCCTTCAACAGAAGGAATTCATGGACATGCAGTATTCTTCTCTGTTTAAACCTGCTGTTACCTGTTTAAATGATAACCATTCCAGATTTGAAGGCTCATGGTACACAGTAATTTTTTGTACAGCCACTTATTATTGTTCTTTGAAGTAGGCAGAAAGCCTTCCAAATTAAATATAGTCCTCTGACTTCAACTTCTTTGTCATGTATGAATTTTTCAATGTGTAACACCGACAAGCATCTCAGAAGTATTCTGTCTCAGAGAGAATTCACTTAGGGACAATAAAATTGGCTTTTTAAAATCTAAAAATAAATGTATGACTGCTTCTGAGTGTGGTGGACATCCTAAAAGATTCTGCACCACTCACTTGGGAAGCAGTATCAGAACAAGACAACTGTGGGGCACTGGCCTAATTACAAAAGAAATTTGAGATGCAATTTTCCCCGCTGTGTAGCTGTGCAATCACAAGGTAATTATTAGAAATGTACAACATGTTTCATTCAGAGCTGGTGACAGTGAATTGCAAATCAGTGACTTCTGGCAAAACATCAAAAGCTTAGATGATAAAAAAGATGATAAAAATAAGAAGTACCAGTCATCTGAATATAAGGTTTCTTTGAATCTGACAAAATAATCCAAATTACTCTCATTTAGCCAAACAGGTCACAAAGAAATATATGTAGACCAAAATTTTGAACCCATGCGCTCTAAGGTAATACTCCTGAAACTGTATTAAAATACTATTTATGGAACAAGGAATCTAATCTTCAGTTGTGCTGATCATTAATAACAAGGAATTAATTGAAGGAATACCACAATCTTTAAAATTATAGCATTTCTATTGGAACATAGATTTAGGCATCTAATTGAGCTCCCACCTTAACATATGTTTAATCCTGATTTAGTATTCTAGAAGATACCTGAATCTTCACAAGAATGCAGCATGCAAACAAACTCAGCTGACTGCAGTAACAGCACACTTATGTAGAACAAAAAAACCCATCTTCAGTAACTGTCCAATAAACAAACATGTTCACATAAATCTGCCCATCCGTCCAGACTGTCTCACATAATATGAAGGAATAACCCTCATTCTGAAATTCCAATTATTTGGAATGTGCTACAAATGTTTGCATACTTTAATGTGTAAGTCACCTCTAAGATATGAGCCAGCTTCAAAATACTGGTAGCTGTTGTTAAATAAACAAGCAAGAGCAACTTATAATTGGCCATTGAAAAGAAAAGCATTTATGTTTCATTAACTATTGCGAACTATTAAGTATTAACAGTTAATTTTCATTAACTATTACTAAAAAAATTTGGTTTGACCATCAAAAATGTAGCAGAACTTTATTATGCAGAAATATGTACATTAGTTTTTTATGTTATAAATTAAATTATATTACTTTTCATGTTATAAGTATACTGTGATTTTTTTCTCGTAACTAATACAGGTAATTTTTTTATACAGTGCAAAGCAGTTGTGTGATTGCAGGTTTTTTCTGTGATCTACAATATACAAATTATCATTAATACAAAAATGAAAAAGATAAAATGCTGATTTTGCTTCTTAACTTACATAATTTGGTGAAATCTAACTCTATTTCTTGTTTTCAAAAAAGAATAAACCAGACCCTGTGGACGGCACTTTTCATAACCCCCATTTTTAGTAGCATGATACACATAACATACTAAAAATTGAGGTAATAAAAGTATCACTTCTAGATTTTTCTAAAGAAAATGTTGCAATATAAAAACTCTTCAATTACCTCACTCTCAGCAAAATGTCTTTCTCCTTTTAAACACAGGGAAGAGCGTCTCAGAGTCTTCTCATCACCATCATCAAATACTGCCACCAGGTAAGAAGTGAGGAAAGAAAACATTTCTTTTTATCTCAGGATATTAATAAGCAATTCATTTACATGTCAGAAAGAATGGGATATATATTCCTGTAGTCAACCCTTGGAACAAACCTATGCCCAGATAATGCTGCAGATCCAGTAAAGTACTTCACAGATTGGCCAGATACAAAAGCTGCTCTCTCACCATAGCTACTCTACACTTGCATACCTTGAGTAATCAGTAGTTGAGCAGACAATTCATGGTGTCATGAAATTAAATTCAACACAATAGAATTCAAAACCTATTTTTTCTAATATCTTTCTAACATTCAAAAACTATTTTTTATAATATTTACTAATTTTAAAGAATTTAATTACACAACTCCTGTGATATTCAAGTGGAAACTGCTTACCATGGAGAAACATAATTGGATATTTACAGAAAAAAGCTGCAATTTAACATTGCATGCAAGTTCAATGTCTTTCTCTACTGACTTCGTGCAACTACACTACAGAATAGCAATACCATCCTAAGAAGATGACAATAGTCAAAGTGCTGACAATCATCAAACCAGCTCTACTGACAGAACTGTGCAACTCCCAGTTTCCAGACTTTTTGCTATCTCTGCTATCACTAGGTCAATTGGAAACAAGTTCATAAAACAGTTCATTCAGCTACATCCTTTAGAATCATGAAATGCACTGCACACATTTAAGGTGTGGTCCTTAGAACATGATAAACTGGTCACATAAAAAGTAAGCTTTTGTCAAGTCATCTGCAGGTACTTAACAGATGAAAATCTGGTTACAGATTTTAACTCTTAGGCTTTGCTTTCACTGTGAGAAAAAAATGTATCTCTTCTCTCCTCTTGAGCAGTAATAATTATATTCTTGCTTTCTGATGGAGGGTGCTCTACTCTTCAACATTTATAAATTCAAATAAAAATATACAAAAAGCAACAAGGTACATCAAAATTCTAGACTAATATTTACTTGATATTAAAGAACCTTTTATTTAGTTCTATTAACTTTTCATCCCTATATAAAACTGAGTACTGTTGATAAAGCAACTTCCCCTTGTAACTACAATTCCCCAGCTTGTCTTATAGACTACAGTAACTGTTGAACACTATTCAATTGTGATGCAGTATCAGTTAGAGATGCACATCCATCACTTCCACATTTGTTGGAAAGTATCAATGGTAAGAACTGCACACAAACCACATAGATTTGGAGCTGCATCTCAAATGGTCAATGCATAATTACACCCCCTTTGGTTAAGTGAAGTAGAAGTCAGCAGGTTCCTAATCCAGTTTGTGTTAATTAACAAAACAGTCTCCTTACATAATGAGAGATTAAAAAAAAAAAATCTATCCACTTCAAGAGATAAGCTGACTATAGCAGTGGTAAACCTATTCCGAGCTAGGCAGGTAGCCACATAATGTGTCCTATGTGGTAATCTGCCTGTGGCCTCTTCCCGTCCAGAGGGAATCTTAATCTTGTTCCATAACACAAATACTTTCAGAGGAAAAGCTTGACCTCCCAGAAAGACTTATGTGGCTAGCATGGCACATATGGCTTAATGAGTATGACATTCTGATCTATTGGAACATCCTGAAAGCAATCTACTGAGCAGGCATCAGTAGTGTAATGTATTTGAAATCACATATTCTGAAACTGCACGAGAAAAGCTGAAGAGGGTGGGGAAGAAGACACAATTTAATGCAACCAAAACCACTTTGAATTCTGTGAAAAAGCATTGTAAAGACAAAAATGTGCACAAGGGGATAAGACTACTTTTGAATATGCATAGTTCTGCATTTTCAGTAAAGCAAATAATCCTGCCACTTTCTTCCCCCCCTCCCCCATAGTAAACAGAGACTTTAAGAGACATTTATACGAATGAACAAACAGTATCTAGTTACCAGGACTTAAATACCTTGAGTTATTTCAGGATTTTTCACAGGGCAGGCAAAACTAAGGACACTTATGTATGTATGTATGTATGTGCATGTGTGTGTATATATATTTATATATGTATGCCTATTACATTTACAAGTTTTATGCATATATATGCATACCTATATATATACACCCACACAGTGCTATACTAATTCTAAAATACTATAGTAGTTGGATTTTTATAAAAATTTAATTTAGTTTTTGTTGTTCTTTGGCAGGAAATCAGTAGCACCAAATAAATCATGTAAGCAAACTGATGTAAAATTTCTATTCAGACAACATCTTATGAATACAAGACACACAGGGACACCCACAGCAACCTTGCCAAATCAGTGTTAAAAGAGGTCTCAAGCAGAACTCAAAGGGTTATTCCTCTCCAGATACTGCTGCAATGGCATATCTGATCTTACGTAACTTTTGGAAAGGTACTACTTCAAATGGATCTATGCCTTCAAAAAGTTTTTCATCAAATCATAGCAATTTTATTTACAAAATCATTAACATTGCAAATAGTTAGATGCTTCCCAGAAAGTGCTAGGACAAGATTAGGTAACTGCTAGTTAAGATGAGTGCCAATTCTGGAAGCTGGTAAGTGGCAACTTCATCCTTATAGAGTAGGACTTTCACTCAGATCTGCAATGTCATCACTGTTAGTAAAGGTAATTCTCATCTCATTCTACTCACCCTCCTGACAAAAATTATTCTAATCACCCACAGCTAGAGTCAATTCTCTATATTATATAAAAGTGCACTACACTGCAGCAGCTGTGCTGCTTTTACCAATTCTGCAAGGTCAACATGCTTTTGTCTGCTTTTATCTCCAAAGCTCAAGAGTTGAGATTGAAGCCCATACCTCTTCCTATTTCTCAAGTTCAGGATTTTTGACAGACATCTCCTTTGACTGCAACCCTGTGACATCTACCTTCAAAATTTAATATGCATGGATTCCTGTCTTACTCTTCTTGCTGAACTGCTAACCTCACACTTTCTCAGAAACAGAGACATACAACACAGTTCTAACACTAGTTACACCATTTGCTTCTTAAAATCTCTAATATCTGATCCACTTCCATATTAATTACAAAGCACTGTCTGTAATGTTAATTCTTGTATTTGTATGTTTTGTTTCACTCCATCCTAACCCAGTCTCACCTTTACTAATAGATTCCACTTTTCCAACAGGAAAACAGACATCTTTTCTTCAACACTTATCTGTAAGGTCTTATCTAAACTTAGAGCTCTATTCCCTTCTGAAAGGACTGTGACTAGGGAAAATAAAATCTTTCTCCAGTTGTTCAACATCACCTCATTAACAACAACCCATATCTCAAAAGAACTAAGTCTCACTCAAGTCCTTTCAAGATCTAGTCTTCATCTTCCCATATCTATCCAGGAGGGGGCTATGTAGTTTTTCAAAAACGTATACATTTTCTGTATATAAATTAAAAAAACCTTTCCCCTCTATTGGCTATAGAGCATGTGGTATATCATTGAACATCTGAAATACCACATTATAACAAGCTATGTGTATTTTAACAGCAGCTGTTGTAAGGGCTAAGTCTGTGAAAGGGGAAAATTAGGTGTTGCAGGTGGTGTTTTAAAAGCACTTCTTCACCTTTTTTTTAAGGACCTGAGACAGCATACTTTTTTTCAGACTATTTAACAACAGTGTATTTAATATCTAAGGAACAGTCACCAGTCATACAGCAATTAATTACATTTTTATTTGGTGTCCCAATTTCAGATTGCAACGGGTACAGTTTTTTATAAAAACTCCAAATAAGAAGTTTATCTTAAAAGATTTTCCATAAAAACTCTAAATACCTAAGCATCTCCAAAAAATCTCTCTCACCATGCTTAGGACATGTCCACGTCACAGGCTTATTTTTAAGTCTTAAGTTTTATTGACATATAGAAATCTTTCACTTACCTACAGTATACCAACTTGCATCTGTTAATTTGTTGATAACTGCTTCCTGGTATGTTCCATCTGGATTCTTCACTTCCACAACAGTTCCTACCTAAAATACAGAACTCATTTAGCATTGGAGATCTTCTAAAACAGGCAATGAAATCAACACTTTTGTGTTAGCAAACAGATAATTTCTAACCTATTCCATGTCAAATATAAAATGTTTTTCCACTTTCACTTGAATATACATGTATCCCTCAAACTTCTTTTTTCATTCCTTTAAAATAAGCCAACTAACTGAGCTGATTATTTCCTGCCAGCAGGTGGGGAACAAGAACCAATTTGAGTGATGTCATTCTCTTGTGTAAGAGCTTTTCCATCAAATCCTCCTGCCGAGTTCTCCAAAGGAATGGTGACTAAAAATCAGTGCCAGCCATACTTCTTAGCTTTAAGGCAAAAAGAACAAAGAAGCTTGCACCAGCCTGTGCTGTATCCCCTTTAACTACAAAGAAAAATTCTAACATGAAGAGTGTACTATCTCTAACTTTGCAGCATTACCTTTTATGCTTTGTGATCCTATCTAGCCTGTGTAGTAAGTTGAACCTTCTACTCTCACCCCATACCGTATATGCACATTTATGTCAAATGCTGAAAAGAAAAATGTTTTTTAAAGCATTAGCAAGATATAAACCAAATTTATTACCTTTAAGGGACCCTTAATGTGGTCATCTTGCACTTCCACTGTTGAAGAATCGTGCCTAAAGGTTACCTAAAAAAATATAATTCAACTGACAATCACTTGATACAATTGAGCAGCATAAGCACATGCAAATGTCAATAGCCCTTCTCTCATTCTCATTTTACAGTTAAACACCATAATCATCCCACTTGCTGAAAGCTGTCTTATTCATATATTTTAGAAATATGAGGGGCTAATTCCTTAGTTATCAAAACTCCTAAAATATTTTTATCTTTCACAATAGAATCATTATCTTTAAAGGAAATAATAGACAAGAGTATAACAAAATTGCCTAAAGGCTCAAAATTATCTCTGCAGTTCTCTTAAGTTATTAGAATGTCTCTAGTACCACAGAAACTTCTGAGTACAACTTTAAAGAAACAGTAATATTTTAATGCCTTGAAATCAGTTTTAGCACCTTCATCTTTTGCTGATAAAAGTGCATTTTTCACCTCATGGTTGAGAGACTTCACAAAAGTACAGGACACTGCTGCCAACTAAACAAAATTAACAACTCAAATAGGTTTTCAGTTAATGTCAGTCTAGCTTACACACAGACTTAATGAGAAAAAATGTAAAACCAGCTAACTTTTCAGCCCTTCAAAACCAGAGTTAGTAAATCCTGTCAACTATATTAAATTAGTTTCCCCTGACATTCCCATAAAGATACAAAGGCTGTTGTCTTAATCCTACATACCCTGTCTTCAGAAAAAAAAAACAAAAAAAAAAAAAAAAAAAAAAACCAAAACAACTGGTCTGGAAAGTCAAATGTATGATGAAATTATCTGTACCAGGTGCTAGAGACATTCACCTTTCGTTTCAGGCACAATTACCTTAGTTACACTGAAAGTCATAGGATTAATTACATCTGAAGTTTTATTTCCACTCCAGTTTTAAGATTATGGGAAACTGAGAAAATTCTGGAATTACATTTTATGTACCTATGTACCTTTATAAACACACAAATGATGTTCTGATGTCCACCAGAATATACTCTCCTAGTGTATTGATGTTGATGTATATGATGTTTTACTGAATGCTTGAAGTAAGTAAGAATGTAACATGAGATCCAGCTGTGTAATACTAGCTCTCAACTACAGCAATCCTACATCAAAAGTCTGGACTTGGTTCACAAGTGTACCCACCAGCATGTTCTCACTGTTGCTGAGAATTTCACTGTAGCACACAGGAACAGCAAAACTGCCTTCAGAAGCACAGTGCTCTCTAACACCAACTCTCCTACACAGCCTTCCCAGAAAGGAGATTTTAAGGAGTTTTGCCAAGAACAGCATCTACAGCCAGGACCAAGGACAATCTATCTTGACTGATTAGAAAACAAATGCACTAAAATGCTACACTGCCCCTTCCAGGTGTTACTTCTATCCTTCTTGTAGTCAGAACTACAGCAACACATATAGTTGTGAGAGTATGTTCTTTTTACACCTGCATATCTCACTTGCTGATGGCAAATACTTTGTCCCCCACACAGGCAAAATTATATCTTGTAACCAAAAGGCAGATAAAGGATTGAGTCTAGGAATTAGCTAAGCAAGGACTACTCTTCTGAACTTCATCCTGACAGATACAGGTATTTAATTCTCTCTTTGCAGGAATTTCTCTAGAAAGCCAAAACTCAGTTAAGATGCAAAATCATCTGAAACCAAGGGTCACTAGTGGCTCATACAAAATACCCAATACATCAGTTCTGATTTAGAGACATCTGGTTTTATTTACTTTCTGTAATTATCTTAAATGTATTTTGCAGCAAAAAGGAACTCTATCCAGAACTGTGAGTCAGCCACAATGTACTCTATAAAAGGTAAACAAAGCAAATTCTATTGTCTATTCCAGAATGGTTTATCTTTTTAAAGATGTCTTGGGGCTTTGACTCTTTGAGGGGAGAGTTTTGATAGCAATAGCTTTTGCTTCTTGAGATATTCATACTCTTGAGATATGTGCTCAAAAAATATTGGTTATTAACATATTCAAACTCCAAACTCAGAGTGACACCGCTGGCCTTTCTTGAAGCAAAAAAAAGTGATGTCAGTATTTACTAGTTGTACATTTTAATTCTCACAGTATTCAGCAGTATAGAACCTTTCTGTCTCAGGCAAAAGATTAAGACATTCAGCACATCATCAACTAGGTCGACTCGGCTGGAATTTCTTTTTTCTTCACTATCCTGAAGACAAACCTAGCAAGTCCTATTACAGCAGAAGCTTTACTTATTTATGTTTAATAAAGGCCTACACAGAAAAGAGTTTCTTCTGAAACTTCTGTGCAGGGTACCCAAATGCAAGTGGTGGTGGATGATGTTGCTAATTGTTTCAGGAGATGCTGCCAAAACAAACTGGCTTAAATCACTCTCTAAAAAAAGCTATAATAGATCTGATAAAGCAGACTAGCACTCTTGTAGCACTCAAAGTCTTGAGTCAAATCTGTAGTGCCTTCAACACTTTTGAAAAGTCCAAGCAAATCTGCATTTCTACCGCTTTCCATGAGCAAGTGTGCAATGCTGTTATATGTTACTGTAGAAGTCTGTACTGTGTACAGAATTTGCCAAAGATTTCTCAACTGCCAAATGCAGTACCTATTGATACTGAAATTATAAGTACATAGCACCTGCATTAAATTGAATGAAGTTTTTAAATGATACTGTAATGGGAAAGTTAATGTGAAGGTATCTCCTCAAAATATTCTAGGAAGCAGAATTCAACAGAAGAAGAAAGCACATAAAAGGAGACAAACATATTTTACTTGTCTGAAGATTGCAATACTCCATATTGAAAGAATTTTGTTGCTATTCTACTTTCTCAGAAGAACATCTAGTTATAAAATTTATTTAAGTGCTTTACACTAAAATTGACAGACAGTATGAAGTTAACTGACTTTCCTTCCCCTTTAAGAGTTCTACAAGATCAAGGCATAAAATATATACTGGGGCCAAAATAAACCTATCAGCAAGTGAAAAAATAATGCAGCAGATAAGGCACCAAAATTCCAGAAAAAGCACACCTGATAATGAGAATCTTTGTTAGAGCTAATACTGGGAAAAATATGCACATGCTAGGAAAAGGTACAGATTTTCAGAGAGCAATTTCAAAGAAAATCAGAGGGCCACTGCTAAGTTTAAAAATACACATTCTTGGTGGAGGAAAAACAATGTAAACATATATTGTTACAGCACTTACAAAAATCTCAGCCACTTTACTCCAGAAAGCAACAACAGTACTGGGGCTGAACTGCTCAAAGCAATATAGTAACAGGCAGCAGACACACACACAAAAAACTGAATCCAGAAGGCTTTGTGCAAAATCTCCACAAGCAATTCACAGAAAAATTCCATTTCATGTCAAGATCTTTCTGCAAACCTTGCAGTTACCAAACTTCAAGTGATAAACCCATAAAATACTTAGCATTGAATAATAAATAGCAACTGGCCCATCTAAGGAGGTGTACTAAAAGTCCCCCAAAGAACTAAAATGAGTTAAGATTTCACTGATCTAGGCACAACAAAATTCCTGTACTTAAATACTGATGCTTAACAGCTTAAATAGCAATACTTAATCACTGTAAAGCATAGACCAGTTGATGCTATTAAGAGTTTTGACTAATGAAATTAAAAGACCACCGATTTGCTCTTCTGGCAGATATAAGACTAAAATCTTCTTGTTTTATTTAACATTACTATCAAGTAAGTGACAAAAGACCTTCCCACCAGGGTTTATGGAGAGTGCCTGCTCACTCCCTCACACACACTATAAGCAAAAAATCAGCCACAGCATGAGGGCAGAGTCAAATAATGCACACTAGTTTATAGTGTGCAAGTCTTCAATAACAGGCTATCGCCATTCACATTTCACACATTTTTCACTTAAATTTACAGTAGATATAAGAAAGATATTCTGCCACTATAACTCCTGCAGAGCAACAAGCTAATTTGTATTTTCTAGGTGGTTTCGATACTTGTTCTGTAATGTTTCTATAAGAGGTTAAGAGGCAAAGCAAAAAAGAGTACCTCCTCCCAAATCAGTTTTTAGGACAACATTATCCCAACAGAAATATACAGCCACCTGTCAGGATATTGCTCTCTTTATTTCTAGAAATGATACTATAAATTTTCTAGGAGCGTTAAAATGCATACTTTGCAATCCCCTCACAGAATTTTTACTTGTCCTGCATGTGGCTTATATTGATTCAGTCATTAACTAGTTATCATAAAATTTAGGTGAGATCCCTAGCTTGCTATTCTGTAAGACTCGATATGCCAAGTGCCAAGGTTCTTGGAAGGCAGAAGGGTTTCAGCTTATTCCTGAAGCACTACCCAGTTGCCACAGCTAAATGGCAGTGACCTGTGGTCCTCAAGTAAAAGACATCCTATTAAAGCCTACTTTGAGTAGTCTTAGCTATTTTCTGGTAATATTCTCCCATATATAAGCCTACAGTTGTCACATTTTAATAAATTACTTTAAGGTCAGCCTATGGCATTGAAGGTCAAAAACACTAACAAAACTACTAACAAAAACAGAACATATTTATTTGTGTGGGAGTGGGGAAATCCCTCCCATCCCAACAGTAATAAGCTTACTGTTATTTCAAAGACTGTAATACCAGCCTCCAAGGACAGGATAGCCTCTTAGCTGACCCGAGAGTAAAAAGAAGTTTCACACTGCACCCTTATGAACATTAATCACATTTTTACCCCTCCTCAAAAAAGTGTCTGCAGGAAAACTGCATACCTTGACTTTGACAAGCCGTTTTGCTGTCTTGATCTTGGCTTCACAGAAGGCTCCTCTATACTTTGCACTGACATCAGTGCCCACTGTGAGATAAGGAGGCTCATCAATTGCCTGGAACAGAAAGGAAAACAACTGCTTTTTAATTACTGACCACTGGAAACACAGCTACCACAGTTTCACCAATTTCTGTGGAGAAACTATTACAAAACACCCCAATGAAAATTAAATTGACAGCAGTAGAAACACAGAACACAACACTAAGCTAATACAATTAATATAATTGCAATCTCATAATATACAAATATAATCTCCTGATATAAGATCATAAATATAATAAACTGATACCACAGTTATCTACAACAAGCACCACATAGGTTTTCAGCCTCTGCACCATCTGAAGACAGAGCAGGTGATCAATTCTGCTGCAATGGTGACAACCAACCAAGTGTTCTAGTGTCTCCTTAAATCGCCTCAAGACCTGATTAAGTCACATGAAGACACCGATGTATTTCCCTCAAATAATTAAGGTTCATTTTTTATTAGTAAACAGAACAACTCTGAGGAGATTCTGCTTTTTCACTTTTGAATAAAGTACATGATAAAGGTGATACTTATCAAGAGAGCAAGCCCACAGGCAAGGTACAGTAGAGACTGACAGAGACTAAACACACAATGAAGGTGAAGGGTCCAGACAAAAGACAAGATTTTGTGACATGAAACACAGAACAGGTGACACCCAAACAGGGAAGTAAGAAACAGAAGAGGTGGAAAATAAGAGAACATAGGTCAAATCAGTATACTGAATGAGATCATGAAGGCACAGTTCCTTCAAAGGAAGTCCATCTTCTCTCACAAAACCTCTCCTAACATAATCTGGGTGAAGAGATTCCAGATAACTGAACCACTAATGAAGTATCACTTCATAGACTCTAGGTCAGAAGAGGGAAGGCAGAGGGTGACATGCAAGAGGAATGAGGTTGGTTTTCAAGAGCTGCAAGCCTCCATGGAGACCCAGACAAGAGCAAAGCAAAGAGATTTAAGCCCTTATCAAAGTCACATCATGTTTCTGTGGCCCTACAGATTCAAACACAGCTTACAAGGAGCATCTCTGGCACATCCAGGTTCTCTGTGGGAAAAATATAAAGACAAATCTTCACAGGCATCAGAGACTGATACTATTTGAGACTGAGGTGTTTGCACTCAGCATCAGATAATTCCTACTAGCTGCTCCCAGTTCCAATACAACAGAAGGCATGGAAGTGCGTACTTGAATGCTTCAATGCACCATTTTCAGACATTTAAGTTCTACAAAACTTGCACTTCAGAAACATTAGATGCTATAGGGTTAACTCCTTATTAATGATGCTTTTTACAGGGACTCTGTTCCAGCCTCTCTCTCTCACTGGCAGGCAATAGAATATATTTCTGAGTAGCATTAAAATTGTTATCAATCTGCACTTTCTAAGATCATCAGAAGCATGAATGCACTAATGAACCTCTCGGTCTCTCCCTGCATGTGTGGTACATGACTGCATGCAAAGTAGTAGGACATACTATGCTGGTGGTAGTATATCCATGAACACCTATCCTTTCCTAATCCAGGCTTAATACCAATAAAACTCCACTGGGATTAACAAGGAATCTGTCAAGTGGCTAGGGATTCTGAAATTCATCCCCTCCTTGCTTGCCCAACAGTACTTGCCTTTGAGGCAGGCTGCCATGCTTTTCTGTTGCTGCACTTGGATGGATGCTGAAAGAGGGACTCAAGTGGTGATAAATTTGATTTTGGTCAGCACTCACACTGAAGTGAACCAAGAAGTGGCTGTTTCCCACAGTATGAATCTGTGCAGAGGGAAGCAGCAATGTATTCTCCTGTAAAGACAGTAAAGCTCTAAAAGACAAGCATCCCTCCTGCTCCACTGCACTTTTTAGTGAAGAAACTCATTCACAACTACAGGGGTGATAGCATTTCATGACAGTTCATCTTCTAAAGTTAAAAGGAATTATAGAGTACTGAGATTACTTTAACAAGAGTGACAGACCCCAAATGGGTCCACACAGATGAACACAGCTATGATTCTACTATAAACAAAACTTAAAGAGCTGGTTTGTCAGTGTCAGCCTATACTTCCCTATACAGACAAAAGAATTATCACAAAGACTAATCCACGATGTCAAGGGGAACTTGCAGAAAAGCACAGAACACTTTTTCTTCACTGCTATTGACAATAACTAAAAAAAAAATCTTGAGCACCTAGATAGTCTGAAGCTTTGGTCTTTGTTTGAAATTTTGTAGCAAAGAAACAGGCAAATCAACAACTAAACTTTAAGCAGGACTTAAAATTCTTATAAAGATCGTAACTACCAGTATTGTGATTACTTTATCACTACTCTAACTTATTCTCAACAACTTCTTCCAGAAAGAATATTCATTCAAAAAACAGTATCTGTAAGAACTTCTGTTACTAACACAAAAATTAATCTCAATCTCTAGCCTAAATCTTTTGAAATTATTCTTACTCCTTTCATTGAAATTAGTTAATATTTCCTACTCTAAAGAACTTCAAAGAATAGCAACATATAGCCTATTTGATTACCAATGTAGGTATGTTTACTAGAAATACAGTATTTGATTGGCTTTTGGGAGAAAAATTATGAAATTAATTTCTTTAACTACCACTATAAATCATTATATACTCTAAAGCAGTATCTGAAATCTTCAATGGATACATACTGGATTTTTTCCTGCAATTTCATTATTCCATTGAAAGACAAATTATATGGTCTTTCCCCCCACCCAAATCACTTAACTGAAATTTCCAAGATATTTCCCTTATTGTGACAGAGTAACAGCTGAAAGTGGCAAGTTAAAATAATTAGCAGAATGTGATGCATCATAGTGAATGCAAACTAGAAAAATAAAAGTAATGATCAGAGTCTGGCATTAATTTAAGATAATTAACTTTGTCATTCTCACCAACTGTGAGTCACCCATTCTCAAGTAGTTTTTATTCAATTCCACTAACATCAGAGATTAAAAATTAGTATACAGCTATTTTTACCTTTCTGTTATCCCTTCCCTGCTTTGTGCTTACGTCATTTATTAGATGTCCTTATGCTTAGACTGAATGTATCTTTGCCTATTTAATTTTTACGTGTTTTATCAGGATTTGGTTTTATTCTTTTTTTCAGGCTTTTCAGAAAAAAAAAACCACAAAAACAAACAGTATGTTAAAATGCTAGAATTGGATAGTTCAGTAATCTTGGAAGAAATATAGCAAGCATACTGAAAATATCTTAACAAGAATAATTGCAGTGATATTTAAAGGGAAGGGGGTCAGGCCTGTAATACAAGAAGTTCCAGGCTTCCTAAAATTCTTGAAGGCCTCTTAAAACAAAACTGGGCTCATAAGCTGCTGTGTCAGCCTTTGTTTTATTTTAAAAGATAATGTGATTTGGCATTTACATTTTATACGTGAACATAATCACCTACACTTTATATTTTAAAGATAAGAATCATTGTTTCAGGAGCATATCAGTGAACTTCTGTCAACAATCAACTTCTTACAATCAGTTTACAATCAGTAAACTTCTGTCAACAGCAAAACCGAAAAGTATGCCCAGCACATGCTATCATTCATGTATGAGATCATGAACTTCTTTCATTCCGAGCAGCTTCAATACACACCCCAGGATATCCTGTCAATGTTTCTGTGTCTATATGTACTATTTCGAAAACCTCAGTTCACACTGGAAAGAGAAAAGTGAAGCTGATGATAGATAGTATCTCGGCTTGCTCGTTTCCTTGTTTAACTACTGCCAGAAGACTGGCACTGAAGGCCTTCATGGAGACCACTCACCCAGCAGGCGGTTCCAAGAGGAGTCAGTATTTTGTCTGCACGAATGACGGAGGCCAGGCTCCCGAAGGGGAGCCAGCCATCCGTCCGCACACGGACACTGGGGAAGGGCTGTACCAAGCTGAAGCCCGCGGCCGCAGCCAGGCGGGGGCTACGGGAGGCTGTTTTGGGAAGGGATCGGGATGAGCCCTTCACCCGCACCCGCTGCAGGGGGATGCTCAGAGCGCCACCAGGGCGGTTCCAGCGAGCCCCGAAGAGCTGGGGACAGCCGGGCCGGCTCCGCTTCGGCGAGGCCGCCGCAGGAAGCCGGCGCCCGGGCGACTCGCTCCGCTCACTCGGGCGGGCAGACGGGCAGCGGCGATTCCCCGGGGAGCTGCCGCTTTAAGGGGAGGGGCCGGAGCCGGGAAGCTGCCAGAAGTTTCTGGCTGCCCGAGCCAGCCCCGAGCGCAGCCGCCCGCCCTCGCCCCCTCTCCGAAGGCGCCCACGGCTCGGGCAGATTAAGCGCGGATTGCCGTAAACTAAATTTGTCCCCTTAAGGCGATTGCCGGGTAAATCTGCACGCAGGGCTTCCCGGGAGCCTGCCGCTGCTGCAGCCGGGCACGGAGCACGGGCAGTGCCAACTCCCGGGATCCGCCGGGAAAACGTGCGAGCGCTGCCCGCGGCCCTGCAGTGCAGCTCCTCCGGAACGCCGCCGGAACGCGCCTGGTTGAGTATCCTAAATCATCGGCCAAATCACTATGAAAAAAAGTTCCGGCGATGTCTTGGGTGAGCAAGAAGGGATAAAAAGAAAAGCATTTCCTGCAGTTTTGCACTTTCCATTAGGCAGTCCAAAGTAATGGACAACTGCCATGCTACTACTAGCACTTAATTTTGTTTTATTAATGGGAGTAGGATGAATAGTTTCTCTCCTATCTCAATTCACAACTGCTGTGCGTGCAGAGGAGTTGCAGCACAGGCTGCCGCAGCTGAAAAGCTGGTTTACCACTTAAAAAAGAAGCAGTCTCTAGGTGACCAGTCAGCAATTTCCCCCAATTCAGTGGTGGAATTTTCTTTGGCAGGAAAAGCAGGCTGCTGGAAGGGTTTCTGCTCCAGACTTTGAGCTGATTATACCTGGAAGGATTGATAAATGGCTAGATGCCCACATCATAAAACAACCTAGACATCTTCTGAGTTTGGATATTTACATTGGTATCAATAGTTCTGGTCTTCCATATATGAAAGAGAAAACACATAGAGACCTCTCCCAGATACTCT